GAATCAAATGTTACCAATCATATTTAATTTAGCATAATTTTACTTACAAATGGTCATTAGTGCACCCACACGAATCTGTGCGCGCAGAATTTTGCAGATTTTTAGCCCATCATTGATTCTGTTTATTTACTTGTGTTGTGTAAATTTATATTTATTTAGTTTTTAAATTAATTTCAGTAATGTTATTGACTAATATTCACATGGTTTATTTACAATACAATTTGTAAAGTAATATTTTCTGTCTTTTAGTATTATATGAGAGACTTGCTTTGTTTACCAAATTAAGTGGATCTAATTTTATTTGCATTGTAAACATTAAATACGTTTTTTTTCTGTCAAGGTTTTAGTTACGATATTCCTAAAATCATTCCGCATAAATCCACAAATTTTTAACAGAATTTTACAGAGAAATAGCAAACAATGTCCGCAGATACTGTCTGGCACTAGTCATAAAGGGGGTGTGGGTGAGAGCGTTGGGAGAGGAGCGAGGCCGGTGGTTTGAGTGTTAACGAAAGTTAACGCGTGTGACTTGTGCGACACACTAGTTTCGAGTCCTACAGATGGAGCATGGTTGGGTAAAAGTAGAAGTGATGACTTGTTTTGTTTGGTCTTGCTTTAAGTTTGGTTGTAGTCATTTGTAACGCTCTACGTTTTTTTTTTTGTTTGTTTTTTTGAAAGTTTGTCGGTTCTCTTGTTCACCTACAGTGTCCTTCCTTAAGTGAGGAAATAATCACATGAAATATGTCTGTGTTTGTTAGAGGACGACGTATGTCTGGCAGCAGCCTCTGAGGTGTACAGGCGGTGTGTCTCTGCCTCCTCTGAAGATCAGTACCTGCGTGACGCTCGACTTCTGGCTCAAGTTTGGGGTCTCCATTGGAACTGTGGCCGCCGTGTTGCTCATTACCATCAGCTGCTACTTCTGGAAAAGGACACGCAAGTTAGAGGCAGTTTACTTCAGGAGCTTATCGTATTCTACATGTTTAAATAATGTAAAATCACATCCATATTTTGATGAAATATCTAGAAACAGAAGGTTTTAGGTGTGAGACAAAATAAGATGAAATAGGTTTGGTTTCATTTGATCTAATGAAAATGTTAAGAAAGAAGGGTCATGTGATGTACATTCTAAAAACATTTTTGGTGTACAGTTGAGGTCAGAATAATTAGCCCCCTTTAATCTTTTTTTTTTCTATTTTAAATATTTCCCAAATTATGTTTAACAGAGCCAGGAAATTTTTACAGTATATCTGATAATATTTTTTCTTCTGGAAAAAGTCTTATTTGTTTTATTTCGGCTATAATAAAAGCAGTTTTTTAATTTTTTAAAACATTTTTAAAACATTCTTGAAAAATATCTAGTCAAATTTTATGGAGCAAATTTTAGTCGCCACCACGGCGACTGAAGCTCTGCACAAGACTTTTGGCCAGCGGAGAAATTAAAATGGTCGTGCCCAACTGAGTCTTGTTCTCTCAAGGTTTTTTTTCTTCACTCCCATCAGGTGAAGTTTTTTTTTCCCTCTCCGCTGTCGCCACTGGCTCGCATGGTTCAGGATTGGTAGAGCTACACATCGATGAATTTGCTCCTCAGTGTTTGAACTCTCAGTAATGATTAAATCACACTGAACTGAGCTAAACTGAACTGAACTTAAACACTAAAAAACTGAACTACACTGTTCCAGTTACTATGACCATTTATGTGAAGCTGCTTTGACACAATCGACATTGTAAAAGCGCTATACAAATAAAGCTGAATTGAATTGAATTGAATGTACTGTCGCCATGGCCAAGATAAAATAAATCAGTTATTAGAAATGAGTTATTAAAACTATTATGTTTAGAAATGTGTTGAGAAAATCTTCTCTCAGTTAAATAAAAATTAGGGGAAAAAATAAATAGGGCTAATAATTCAGAGGAATAATAATTCTGACTTCAACTGTATTTCAACACAAATTTGGGTAAAATATGGACAAAACATTTTGTTGGGTTACATTGTTAAATAAAAAAATAATATTTTTTTAGTAGTTTACTTAAGTAAATATAGTTTACTTAAATTTGTAATTAAAAAGCCTAGCATTTTTAGAGTGTAAGTTTAAAAAGGTGGATATATTTTGCACAATATTTCTAAATAATACTAATAAAAGTACTATTCTAGTAGTATTTGTTAAAGCCTAGTCGTTATTCTAACAATATCAGCATGAGAAATGAATCACTAAACCCATCAGTCATAGATGCTATACTAGTAATTCCAACATACGAAATAAATATATTATAACATTTAGTTTTTTCTGTATTTTGGTTTAAATAACTGAATGAACTTATAAATCATAATGCAATGAATCCAAGAATAAAATCATAGCTTTATGACCCACTGACTTGCTGAACCCAAGACAAATATATACTTCCAAATATGTATATGAATGACTTCTGTTATCTTTATAATTGCAAATAAGCTGTTAATTAATAGGGTCTGCTGTGTGAGAGTATAAGAGTGTCCCTGTCCTCTCTCTAGGCTTCAGTATAAGTACTCCAAGCTCATGATGACAGCAGGAGATAAAGAGTGTGAGCTTCCAGCAGCCGACAGCTGTGCCATTATGGAGGGAGAAGATGCAGAGGATGACCTCATCTACCTCTCCAAAAAACCCTTCTTCAGGAAAATCAAGTCCTTTTCCAGAGAGGTAAGGACACAAGACTGACCTCTCCTTGACCATGACGTTTTGGATGGACGCTTTATACATTTCTAGGGGGTAGTTCACCCTGAAAATTCATGAGAAAACCATTCGATTAAACTAATTTACTCAACTTCCAAAAGAAAATATTTGGAAGAATCTTGAAAATCAGTAGCCATTGACTAGTATTTGTTTTCTTTATGGATGTCAATAGCTATCGGTTTCTAGAATTCTTCAAAATATCTTCTTTTGTGTTCAACAAAAAAATCAAGGTTTGGTCAACAGGGGGTGAGTAAATGGTTAGTAAATTTAGATTTTTGGGTGAACTGACTCTTTAAGGCAAGGCACTGCATGTGAATGAGTTGAAAATATAGTTTTTATTGATTACATAAAGATTTGCATACATTTTTGTATTACAGGTTTTGTAGAAAGTTATGTGTAATCATTGACTGATTTGCAAACATTTCTAACGAAAAAGTCTGAACATTGGATGAAGTAAGGTTCAACATTCTTGTTTAATTTTTTGCACATTTCAGAGTTTTGTTTTTGTTTTGTTTTTACAGAGGGGATTTCAGCAATCTATTTTATCACTCCATAATTAAATAAAAACTGCAAATAGCTAGAATTTTTTTTTGTACAATTTACATATTTAATCATTTAAATTGTATGTAAACATATTCCTAGATTTAGTCATTCATCATTTAGCTGATGCTTTTGTCCAAAGAGACATACAAATGAGAAGGCGTTTAGCGATTCAGGCAACTTTCTTCTGTAAAGTTTTTGTAAAATAGAAGGTTTATCCTGGACTCAATACTGTTAGAATCACTGGTAAACAATCAGGCAAAACATATATGAACATGTCCCTCTTTAAAAACCTGCTGAAATGGAGATTTATGGCTCAAAGCAGGAGAAAAACATGTTTTTGAGGAAGCAGATAAAATATGTGTTGTAAATGAAATCTACAGACACAAAATGATAAGTGTGTGAAGTAAGTCTATTTTACATGTTTTCTGGACATTAAACTAAAAACAACACTACGAAAAGCCCAAGAGTTTCCAAATGAAAAAGAAAAAAAATAGTGTCTTGCCTTAATGTGACAATATTTAATAACATTAAATATTAAATTAAATCTTAAAAGGGAAAGACAATTTATTGAAACAATTCTGTTGTTTTACAGAGAACATCTGATGGCTTTGACTCCGTTCCTCTGAAATCCTCTGCTGCACAGGAGATTGAGATGAGCTAGAACTTGTCACATGTTTGGCTGCCGTAATTCATTTAGCAGATGCTTTTATCCAAAGTGACTTACAGGAATACAACAAGCAATTCAACATAAAGAGCAAATAAATGCATTAAGTGCTCATAATTCAAAGTTTCAGGTTTAAAGTACAAGCTAGAATTAAGTCAATTAAGAAAATGTGAAAGATGAGATGAGTTTTCAGCAGTCTCTTCTGAATATTGTGAAGCATTCAGTGCTATGGAAGGGGTTGAGAAGATCATTCCACCAGCAGGGAACCGTGAAGGATCTGGAAAGTGTGTTTTTTTTTCCAACTCAGGCTTTTGAAGGAGATAGAGACTCACACGTGCGAGTAGAAGTTTGCATAGCTGTGACATTCTCGACATATTAGAACTTTTTTTTTTTTCACCAAAGAGACTGAGTACACCAATAAACCTGTGATTTTTCTTGATATTTGCCAATTCAGTCTACGTACAGGCTAAAAACGAGTGGCAAATGCAGAAAATTTAAAAATATTTTATGCTGTGAGCCTTCTCTTCAGCATTGTCAACTTTTTGATGATCGTAATGGCTTATAAAAATGTTATACAAACTTTTTATACAAATGCAATTTTGGAAAATCTACATTACAAGTGTCATTAGACCATCTTTTAAGTTTCTCTGAAGTTTTCAGTTTTTCTTGATTAACATATTTAATATGAGTTTGAGCAAACCCGATTTTCCCCCAGAATTTGATATTTGGTCAGAATATTTTTTTTTTATTGTTGAACCCAAAAATACATAGATTTTCATTTGATAGTTACACTTGCCTTAAAGCTTTTGTTTTGTAGCATTTATGTTGTGTGACATTTTTCTTCCCTTTTGGTAGGCTATTTTATTGTATTTTATGTCTTATTTGATGTATATATCTTGTTTGTGATGTTTCGTAAATAATACAAGTGATATTAAAAACGTTTCTGTGTCCATTATTTATTAAATAATCAACTGTAAACTACACAGCCAAACTACCAAACAAAACTACCAAATGTCTACCCTTTTCAAACGTTTGTCTAATGTTGCGCCGACTGTTCCTATGGGAACCCATGTAAACAAAGAGCCTTTGCAGATCCAAATTCACCTAATGGTCTGACTCTGAGGAGCAGAAAGATGCCGAAGAAGAAAGGAAAGGGGAAGGGGAAAGGAAAGGGAAAAGGGTGAGTATGATGTGTGGTTTCACATTAATTATATAAAATTAGTCAGATTATGACACACTTGCTAATTTTTTCTTCTTAACACGTCGTTACAGAAAAGGCAAGAAAGACGGCAAACATGACTCTAAAGCCGACAGAGAGTCCGAGATCGAAAAGTTAAAATCAAACGCTTCTTTATGGGAGGCGAAGTTTACCGTCACGGACATTTCGCGTCTTGAGTACCGGGAGGCTGCTCGAGCTCTCGCCAAAGCCAACGAGGAGCTCGAGAACCAACAATACAGAGCCGAGAAAGACACCAAAGATATTATTGCTTTTCTCAAGAGGACAGACTTTGAAAAGACTGCCACGGTTAGTCTGCATTCCCATGTGACAGTACATTACGAGACTGGTGCACAAATTAATCCACCCACTGAATTAATTTCCTAATGTATCGCAAGATTGCTGAATTAGAAGAGTTAAGTTATTTTAAGGTATAATTCTCTCTCTTAACAAATCATCTAACTTCAACTTACAGCTCAAAAAACTAATTTGCTGCTTATTAATAACGTATACTGTACTTCAGTTTAGTTCATTGGATAGGATTAGGGATGTAGAATAAGATCATACTTTATAAGTTACTGCTAACAAACAGCCAAAACCTTATAAAATCTTGACTTTTAATAATATTGTTTATTAATACTTATAAAGTAATTGACAGGTAATAAAAAGGCAGTAGTTAATAGTGGGAATTGGCACTTAAAGTATTACCGTATTGTAAATTCTGAAGAAATGTTATTAGAACTTTATAGAATAAAATAATTTAAACATAATTTTAACAAAATGCTGCAAAGAACTAATGTACAATTTAATCCCACAATTTTATGTCCTACTTTTCTGCCTTTCTCTAGATTGCTGCATTAGAAGAGGAACTGAAAAGAGAAAGAGCCAAATCTGCACAAGAGAAAGATTTGTTGGTAAGGACTGAGATACAATCTTAGAGCGGGGAAAATAAGTGATAGCCTACACATGTCACCATTTTTCTCAGAAAACATATTTCTAAAGGTGCGGTTGACTAGAAAATTTTCCCGGATGTTGGTAAAACCAAAGAAATTTATTTATGCACACAAAACAAATCTAATTAGTTTACAAATTTAGTTGTGCATAATATAATAAAAGCACACAGGGAAAAGTATTGAACATCAGAGAGGTGTAAAGGAAGTGAAAGCCCAGACAGCAGCTGAAATCTCTCAGCAACCCTCTGCCCTTTGTCAGTGTAAATTAATATTCGCTCCTTCAATCCAACATCTTCATTATCAGGATGATGAAGATGAAACCAGAGTGGACATTTTAGCAAGACAATGATTCAAAACACAGCCAAGGAAACTTACAAATGGTTTCAGACAAAGAAAATCAAGAATGGCACAGCCAATCACCTGACTTGAATCTAATGTAAATACAAATTAAAGATCAGATTTGACAGATGAGACCCACAGAACCATCAAGATTTTACAACACCAAAAAAAGCCTTTTATGTAAGGTAAATAAATTTCAGTAGTTAAGTATTTTCTCATTGTGTCATTTTATTGTTATTAAACACAACTCATTTTTCAGATTTATTTTATTTTTTTGTTACATTTTTATGTTTGTATTGATTGGGGTTTTCCAAAATTTGGATAAATTCCATGTCAACAGCATCTTTAGAAATATTATTCCCAGGAAACCATATGACGTGTTTAATACTTATTTTCCCTGCTGTTTATTCTTGAAGTGGTTGTCATTTAAGCCCTGCAATTCACCCATTGGCTTGTTCATTTTTATTGACTGGCTGTTGCAGGTGGTTGAATACATGCAGAAGATTGATGCTTTAGAAGAGATGTTTAGGCAGAGGTCAGGTGACTTCCAGAGAATGCAGGGCGAACTCAAAACCATAAAACATTATCGCAAAATAAAAGCCAATCTGGAAGAAGACCTGATCAGTGTAATGCATACCACAGATATCGTTATATAAAGCAATGAAAATAATTAATAATTCCATTAATATAATGTGTGATTTTTTGTTTTTTGTGCTTCTAGATAAGAGAAAAAATGTATGTTGATGGCCGTACACATCAAGAGAGTTTGGCGAGAACTGAATACAAGTTCTACATGGCAAGGGTGAGAAAATATAAATGTGAAGAGAATAATTCTTAAATCTATTAACAAGATTGTATAGATAATGCACTGATATGTCAGAAATAAAAGCAACATTAGATTTGAAACACTTCTGTTATGAACTTTTCAATACGTACACACCTTACATTATTACAAATAGAGTGTTGTTTTAATCATACAACTTACTAATGATTAGAAAAAACATAATCTCAATATAACAAGTTTATATACACTCGTTATATACAGGTTTTCTGCAATAGTAGGTTTCTGTAATTATTAAAATAATCATAAATTCCAATAAATAATTTGTATTTTTGTGTGGTAAATTTAAAGTAAATACTGTAGTGCAAGGGCATAGATTTGCTCTTGACGTACATCCCTAGAGCGTATGTATTGAACAGCACAAATTCTGTTTTGTGCTTTTAAAAATACGAATCAAGGTTTTAAACACTTAATAATACACATAACAATTATTGAAGCACATGCTACAAAAGTCAATTTACATGATTTACTGCCATCTTGTTTTGAGGAGGTCTGAATATACAGAAACTTTGCAAGGCATTTGACGCAATTTAACCGTTTTACCCCTATTATCTATTATATACAGATGAAGTCAGAACTATTGGCCCCCTTTGAATATTTTTTTCTTTTTTAACTATTTTCCAAATTATGTTTAACAGAGCAAGGACATTTTCACAGTATGTCTGATAATATTTTTTCTTCTGGAGAAAGTCCTATTTGTTTTAATGTGGCTATAGAATAAAAGCAGTTTTTAATTTTTTTTAAACACCCTTTTAAGGACAAAATTATTAGCCCCATTAAGCTACATGTTTTCCTGATAGTCTATAGAACAAACCATCGTTATACAATAACTCATTGTTTGTAATACAAGAGCTGTAGTAATTTAATCAAATTACTCAATACTGTGCTCTTTTTTTACAACAGTGTGTATCGTACTAAAATATACACAGCTTACTGTAGAAAAACTAAATTAGTAAAATCTAAAGTTCATCAGTTCATATAGTCATACTACAGTATTAGCATTCTATAACAGAGGTTTAAACACTATAACATATACACTTACATTAACAAAGATGAAAAAATTGTGTAATTAAAGTATTGTTTGTTGTTTGCTAATACCTAATACACTAACAAACATTATTACATGGCTCTTTGGAATACTTGATATTGATTGGGCAATCATGACATTCCAAATATGCTCTTGCCAGATGACAACCGCTCATATATCATTTATATGCTTAACTTTCACGCCATTGTTTTTGTTTGGCGCCACCTTTTGACTGAATAGGCTAATGAATAGGTTAGTGTAGGCTGCTGTAACTGTTTTGTTTCTGTCAGCGTTACTTTTAATTGAAGAGTTAATAGCTGATTACCAATTTAATTTAAAACTTTTATTATATTTTGTCTAATGGTTTAGTTTTTGGGCAAGTAGCTGTGCAATATGTGAAATAATATACATCTAGGTTTTGCAGAATAAAGCCCTTCAGTCTTATACAACTGCTGATAAGGCTTTATTTTGCAAGCCTATATTATCTCTTACTTAACTATAGGAATGTTATTGTGAAGTGTGACCAGTATTTAGTATAAATTACTATAGTATTTTTTAATGTAAGAAATGTTTTTTTAAGAACTTAATGTGTTCCTCCATACAGATTCGTATTGAAAAAGAAGCAGAGCAGAAAATCTCTCAGCTTGCAGAGCAGGCACATTATGAAGCTGTTGAGTGAGCTGATATTCCTTTTATTTCATTAGCAAACTAACTGTTCATATAGGAAATCCCAGAATGTGATTTGTATTTACTGGTGTATATACCACAAACCTTCTGTTTTGACTCCCACAGCCAGCTGGGTGCAGCATCACAAACTATGATCACGGAGAACATCCGACTGAATGAAGGATTGAATTATCATGTGAAAGAGGCCGAGCAACTGAAAAGGATTAATGTAGCCTTGACAGAGAAGAATTCTTCCCTTGCTCTCTTCAAGGTGATAAACTAATAGAAAGCCAGAAGTATTAAAGGGATAGTACACACAAAAAAATATAAATTCCGATCATTCTTAACTCACCTGTCACTTGTCACAAACCTGTTCTAGCTTCTTAGATATTTTGAAAAATGGTGGAACCCGGCAGCCATTGAATTTCATAGTATTTATTTTACCTACTGTGGATGTAAATGATTGCGAAATCAAACATTAATTAAAATATCTTCTCCTCTGTGTAACAAGAAAAATAATAATGAGTAAATAATAGTGAGTAAATAATAATGAGATTAAAAGCATGAAAAGCAAAAAGCTTTTGGGTAAACTATCCCTTTAAGGCAAGACAATGATAGCCCCTTTCACACATACAGACCTTTCTGAAAAATTACCGTCAATTTTCCAGAAAGGTCTGTATGTGTGAACAGGCCCTTTTTGAAAATACCAGTAAATTTGTTCCGCTAATTTTCCCGAAAGAGAAGTTGTAACATTACCAGTAATTTGCCAGAATGCTGCGCTGTGTGAACGCAAAAGGAAGATTGCCAGAAAGAGCCATTTGAAGTGAGACATGTACTACAGCCAATCAGAACATTCAGACGCAATCACAACAGCACTGTTTATGAAAATAAAAGTTGAATATTTTTCCAGACACATTTAGCTGCTAGATGTTAGTCAAATAACATTTCTATGTTCCTTCAGAATACCAAATGTGTACATAATTATAAACAAATATAACCGCAGTTTGTTTAACTTTAACCTCTGCTTCAGTTGTTTGATGCGTGTGCACGTGAAGCAGCCAGTCAGCTGCCAGCACACACATATTATGAACATCTCGACATGCAAAAGTGTTCCTCCATATATTTTTATCGAAGGTCTTTACAATACTTATCCATCCACAGAGTTTGTAAAGTAGTCAAATGATTACAAATACAAGCACAGCCATTTAGAGCTAATTTTTTGGTTAGTGATGTCAAAATTTACAGCGATATTGGGATAAATGTGTGAATGGTCTTTTCCGGAAAAATTCCAGAACGTCCTTGCTTGTGTGAACAGCGCTGTTTTAAATTCACCGGTAAAGTCTTTCTGGAAATGTTCCAGATATTTACTGGTATTACTGTGTAAAAGGGGTTAATGTCATTAAGACCTGAAATGTTTTATATGTAAATGAGATATTTTTAGATTAAAATGGAGGAAATTGTATAGATTTCAGGAACAGAAATCGAAACATCAGAATCAAGTTTAATTGGATCTTGTTTCATTTGTGTTAAAAGTTACAGAGATAGTTCACCCACAAAATGAATATTTACTCAATATTTTCTCACGCTCAACTGGTTCCAAACTCTAACTTATGAGTTTGAACTTATGAGTTTCTTTATTCTGTTGAACAAAAAAGAATATATTTCGAAGAAAGCTGAAAACCTGTAACCATTCATAGTAAGAAAAACAAATACTCAGTCAATGGTCAATGGTTGCAGGTTTACAGCATTTTTCAAAATATCTTATCAAATAAATTTCTCTTATTGTGGTAAGGAAAAGAAAAGTGGTAATTAAAAAAATCTCTGCAGTGATGTACATTGAATCTCCAACTGATTCATTGCAGGAGACGAACGAACTGATGAAAAAGGAGGCCGATTCCCATGTTCAGTCTCAACACAGTGAGATCTCTGAACTAACAGCTAAACTGAGCACACTTGAGCAGGCTCTGGGCATTATGTCTAGAGAGTTTGAGCAGGAAAGAGTAGAGATGGAACGGAGTGCTGGGGTCAACAACACAGAACTTGAGGAGCTGGAAATGCTGCTGGCTGCCCGTGAGAAGGAGCTGAGCAAAGTGAAACAACTAGCGCAAAGCATCATCGAGCAGCGGAGAGAACTGGAGCTCTTCTTCCACGAAGCTCTCAATCATGCGAGGAAGGAAATAAAAGCACAGCAGCAGCACTACAGGTTTGCTAAATACAGCTGAAGTCAAATTATTTTTTCTTTTTCAAATATTTCTCAAATTATGTTTAATAGAGAAAGGGATTATTCACAGTATTTCCTTTTTCTTCTTCTGGAGAAAGTCTTTTTTTTATTTTGGCTAGAATAACAGCAGTTTTGAATTGTTTTAGAATAATATTAAGGTCAATATTATTAATCCCCTTAAGCAATATTTTTTTTTCGATCGTCAACAGAACAAACCATCTTTATACAATGACTTGCCCAATTACCCTAACTTCTCTAGTAAAGCCTTTAAATTGGACTTTAAGCTAAATACTAGTGTCTTGAAAAATCTATTTACATATTATGCATCACGGCAAAGATAAAATAAATCAGTTTTTAGAAATATTATGTTTAGAAAAGTGTTGAAAAAATCTTAAAAGCTTAAAGCTTATAACACCAAATAAATCATTATTAAACAACAAAATTCATTATAAAGAAAGTTCTAAATTCTAAATTTCTAAGTCAGATCCACTGTTGGACGTTGTACACATACATATATATACTTTGTAGTGTGTAATTTAACATAATTGCCTCTATGAGTCGCCAATGGAAATAAAATAAACAGACACAAGAAATTCACGTTTGCCAGACATGAAGTTGGCGCAGACCAATGCACATTCTCATGTTAATTTTATCGTTAGTAAATTCCGACATGAGTGTGAAAACTGTTTTTGTGCGTATGCAGCATTGATACATAAGACCCCTGGTCTCTGTAAATACAGTAAGTGTAGTGAAGTCCCACTACATTCAAGATTTTTAGCTGGCTGAGGCGGCCAAATATGGATCTGATTTCGGTTAGAAAATCAAGAGTGGAGAAGAGATTCTTTCTGATGAGCATTTATTTCTGTCCTGAATATGCAGCTGAGGTATGCACTGGAGATATTGCAAAGAATGTGTGGGTATGTGGTTTGTATAACATAAACGCATTTGCAGAGCATAACCTGCGGCATAAACAGTGAATGGCATTCAGTCCGTACTGGTGTGCGTCATGTAAAAAATGTCCGTGCGGGAAACAATTACTAATTTAGGTTCCTAGGACAGGCTTTCTGACACAGCCGCCCCCAATTATCTGTCAGGATAATTGTACATTTTAAGAAAGTTTGTCTGCCGTGTCAGGAACATTATCCTCTAGGTGCGGAAGGGGAATTAATCGCACAACTGGACGAGTGTAAGTTTTTTCCTTAACTTTAACTCTAACGGTACGAATTTTACCGTCAGCTCCAGGTAACGTTTCAGACACTGTTCCTACAGGCCATAAAGCACGTGGGAGTTGTGGATCAACAATAAGAACTACTTGGCCCACGGTAAGTTCCTTGCCATCCTTCCTCCACTTCTGGCGATCCTGTAAACTTGGGAGATGATGGCGGATGAAGGCAGTCCAGAAATTATCAGCCAACACCTGGCTATGTCTCCATCTGCGTCTGCCGAGCAAGTTGTTGGAATCATACAGAACCTGAGGAAGTGAGGCATCACGTCGGCCCATAAGGAGCAGGTTGGGAGTCACTGGGTCCAAGTCTGCGACGTCAGAGGATATGTAGCCAAGTGGCTTGGAATTCAGAATGCCTTCCACCTCCACTAACAGGGTTTGCAATACTGCCTCTGGCACTGACTGCTCTCGCAGGATGACACGTAAAGCGGACTTCACCGATTTGACCTCACGCTCCCAGGTTCCCCCGAAATGAGGAGCACTTGGTGGGTTAAAGCGAAATCGAATCCTTTGCTCCGCAAGCTGCTCCTGAAGCTTTGGTGCCATGGCATTGAAGGTCTCTCGTAATTCTCGATCCCCTCCAACGAAGTTAGTGCCATTGTCACATAGCAATTCCATGGGCTTGCCTCGTCTTGCGATGAAGCGACGCAGAGAAAGCAGAAATGCATCAGTGTCTAGTTGTTCCAGTAGATCTAGATGCACGCACCTGGTGGTCATACATTTATAGAGGACTCCCCACCTCTTCTCTTGGCGACGACCAACTTTAACCGTGAAGGGGCCAAAGCAATCTACCCCTGTAGAATAGAACGGGGGTTTGTAAAGTTGCAGTCTGCTGGATGGAAGATCAGCCATTTGGGGTGTCTGAGGTTTAGCACGCCAGAACTGACAGTCTCTACATGTGTGCTGATGTTTTCGAATTGCTTCTCTGCCTCTCAATACCCAATACTGGTGGCGCAGTTCAGCTAGGACCCGTTCGGAGCCTGGGTGAAGGAGTCGCTGATCTGTCTCCTTAATTAACAGCTTGGTGACAGGGTGGCCAGGATGCAACACAATTGGGTGGATAGAATCCAAGTCTAGGCTGTCAGTCCGACGTAATCTTCCACCTACTCGGATGAGACCTGTGGCTTCATCAAACTCAGGGGCAAGAGAGATCAAACGACTGTCAGAAGGTAGAGATTGGGCAGTCTTCAGAGCCTTGACCTCGTAGGGGAACGAGTCACTTTGAGCCTGTACCAGGAGGAGTTTCTCAGCTTCAATATAGTCAGCTGCGTCACTAGAGAAGTTATTATCAGCAATAGCCGCCCCGTGCAGGGACCTAACAGTGGCCTGGACAAGTTCTTGCCATGTAGAGAACTGAGTTGGGTCTGGGAGTGAAGGGTTATTCACTGAAATAGTACCAACGAAGGCAGCTTTCTTTAATTCACTGAGTTCTGGTTCTACCGCTAGCTTGGGAATGGATGGCCATTGGTCAACGGATTTAAGGAGAAAGGATGGTCCTGAATTCCATTGGTGAGGGCCTGTTAGCTCCGCTAAAGTTAGACCCCTTGTGATATGGTCAGCCGGGTTGTTGGCCGAATCAACATACCTCCATTCAGCTGTCTCAGTGAGAGTCTGTATTTCAGCTACACGTCCTCCAACAAACACCTTGTAGCGGCAAGACTCTGCGGTCAACCAGTACAGCACAGTTGTTGAGTCAGACCAGAGAGTGACTGAATCGATGGGAAGAGTTAACTCATTTTGTATTACTTGGGCTAACTGGGCGCCGGTCAGTGCTGCACTTAGCTCCAAACGAGGCATGGATAGGCATTTTCTGGGGGCCACTCTCGATCGAGCCAAGACAAAGGTGACGGCAACATGTCCTTGATCATCAGAAGCACGTAAATAAGCCACTGACCCATACGCTCTTTCAGATGCGTCACAAAAGATGTGTAGCTCTCGAGTGACAGGAGGATTATCAGGCCAGACTGGTGTGTATAGTCGAGGGAACTGCAACTGAAGGAGTGTTGGAATTTCTCCTACCCAGGTTAACCACTTATTCCTCAGCTGTGCAGGCTCAATCAGATCATCCCAGCCCAAGTTTTGCTTCCAAAGGTCCTGTATGAGGACTTTAGCCCTTGTAGTGAACGGGATAATAAATCCTAAAGGATCATACTGACTGGCCAATGTCTTGTACATGTTCCTCATAGTAGGCTCCAATGGCTCTGCAGAACGTAAATTGTAACCCAGAGAATCATTGAGACAATTCCACCGTAGGCCAAGAGTGGGTTCTTGCAGGTCTGTACTAGCTTTGGTTAACCATCGTTCACTGTTGGTAGACAAGGCCTCTGCGGGAAGATGCTGGATCGCAGATGGTACATTACAGGCCCATTGTCTTAAATCAAAGCCTCCCTCAGCCAGCAACTGACGCAGTCCATCCACAACGTCCTTAGCTTCATTGGCTGTTGGTGTGCTGTAAAGACAGTTATCAACATAAAAGGAGTTCTCCACTATGTTAACCAACTTAGGCATGTCACCTTTGTGTCCTTGTGCATGGTGTTGGAGGGCAAAGATGGCGCAACATGGACTACAGGTAGTTCCGAAGGGAAGCACCTGCCATTCGTATATATCGGGCTCTCTATCCCTGCACATGTCCCTCCATAGGAAACGAAGCACCTGTTTGTCTTTGGGCAGCAGACGTACCTGGTGGAACATGCCTTTTATGTCACCGCTTACAGCAACAGCATGCTGCCGGAATCTCAGGAGGACTCCCAATAACGATGGTCCCAAAGTTGGTCCAGGCAGTAGCTGACTGTTCAATGACTGTCCTTGATGTTGAAAGGAACAGTTAAAGACAATCCGGTCTTTGTTGTTGTGATGTACAACGTGATGCGGAATATACCAAGACTCGTTACTCTTGTTGGCTTCCTCCGCAGTTATCTTGGCAACATATCCAGCTGCCTCCAACTTCTGGATCTCAGTGCAGTATGCTTTAGCCCTCTCTGGATCCCGTGACAGCCTGCGCTCTGTGCTGCGTAAACTGGGTAGAACTGCATCCTTTTCTGCATGGAGCAAACTCGCAGGTGTCCGTCTCAGCAGGGGTGTAGCGTAGCGTTGAACACCATCCACATTTACTCTGATGGTAGAATCCTGAAGCATGTTGTAAGCTTCCTTATCTTGCTTAGACCTGGTGATTATTTTCTCATTGTACGGAAGGGTGTCAACTTGCCAGAGTCTTTCTACATGATGGATAAGTTCATCACGGGCTGGAGCTGTCATGATGTTAAGACATTGCTGCTTTCCTCGTGAGGACTGCATAGGACTCATCGGGCCTTGGAGACACCATCCGAGTTGCGTGCAGACCGCAATGGGCCCGCCTACTGGGCCTTCGCAGACGGGCTGGATGGGTGTCAGAAGGTGAGGATTATCAGATCCAATAAGGAGCAGTGGCTTTACCCGGTCCACGGGAGGCAGAGGCAGATCCTTCAAGTGTCGATGGGCATTCTGGAGTGCAGTAACTGGGTAGTTGTGCTCTGCTAGGCACAAACCGGTTGCAGTGAATGCGTTGCATATAGCAAACTTTACCATGGGCTTTGTGACAGAGGACACCTCAAAGGAGATTGACCGCCCTTCCAGCTCTGTGTGGCACTGTTGAATTGTCTGTAGGGGAAGCAATTCAGTGGTCCCGGTTAACTTTAGCTGCCGTACTGCTGGCTGTAATACTATTGTCCTCTCTGACCCGTCGTCAAGGACTGCATGAGTTTCCATAGTGCGGTGGCCATGGTGGAGAAGGACCTTAACTACTTTCAACATAACCTTTGGTGAACGGTTAGGTCTGTCGAGGTAAACCCTGGTGGACGGCATGCTCACCATAAGTACAGCCTTGGACGTGTCATTAATAGTGTTATGTAGAACTGTGAGGTGAAGTTCTTTGCAGACCTTACATGGGCGCTTAAGGTTACAGGTCTCTACTGCATGTGTCCTGCCACATCTCCAGCAACGGTTTCCCTCTTTAATCCAAGTGACAATTTGATCCGAGGTCAACTTCTTGAACTGGTCACAAGAGTTGAGGTAATGGTCCCTGTTGTCACAATGGGGGCAGTATGGTTTCAGCTTTGTATTGGGTTTCTGGGCGGCAAATCCAGGGGGAGGTGTGCCCCTCTCATTGGCCAAGAGTACTGGTGTTGCCCGCTCCTTCGGGCGAGTAGACACTGTGACCCTACCATGAGGCTTGGATAGTTCACTCTGGAACAAAGTTGCGGCTCGATTGGAGATGCGTTTTGCTTGAGATTTGATCTCTAACCAGGTGGCTAGATCAGGAAGTGTGTAGGTCCTATCGGTACCTGTTTGGAGAATCCCCCTGCTCAGGCAGTATTCAACAAAACCATCACGATAGGCAGATGGCAGTTTACTTAACAGGCGATCGACATGAGAGCCACACATGAGCTCGTAACCATTCTGGCCCTCAAGTGTCCTTAGCATGCCCACCAACGACTGAACAGATAAGGCAAAGTTATCAAAAGCATTCGCATCACCCATTCTGATTGGTGGAGTGTTCATCATTACACCCAATTCTGACTGGACAAGCTGTCGCGGCTGGCCATACTTGTCTTGAAGAGCCTGTAGTGCAGCTGAATAAGGACGAGGATGATACATGTAGGCTTTGGCCAGCTGCTGAGCACTGGGAAGTTTTAAGTGGCTTAATAAGACATGGTACTTGTATTGCTCACTGAGATGGTTGTGATTAGTCAACAAATTGTCCAACGCTAATTTTAACAGGGCAAAGTCACTCTCGTTACCGCTTTCAAAAACTGGTAACTTAGGCTGTGGGATGCCGTAGGCCGATGCAAACAGTAGCTCTGTACCCATATGTGCAGGGTGACTGTTGTGCATGAATGGTGGTGGCTGCACATAGCTAAGGCTGGTAGGTTGTAAAACTGGTGGCGGGTGGCTGGTGATTGGAGGCTGTAACAGACGTGCATGTGCTGTCACTGGAGGTATTACAGTTTGTGGTACAGTATATGACGTTGGCAGCTGCGGGGTGGCTGTGATAGGCGGTGGTGGCATAGACTGCATGCTTGTATGTAAGGGAAGTGCAGAAGTGGACATGACGGGAGCTCTCAAATGTGGTTGGGATAACACATTTGTTGCAGATAACAAAGTTCGAACTGGCATAGTTATAGGGGCAGTCTGAGATACCTTAGAGACCGGCGATGAGCCTCCTTGTGGCACTGCAGTAAATGGTGCACCTTTAGACTCAGCTGTCAATTGCAGAGGTCTTAATGATGGCTGAGACACCCAGGAGTCATCAGAAATACCCTGCTCTGCATGACAAGTCTGTATTGTTGACGTCACAGCGGGTGACTGAGTAGCGGGCTGCTGGAAAGAGGATGAGAGATGAGATGAACTTATGGCTTGATCGACACATACAGGCTGAGATAGAGACAAATGGTTGCCGGGTGAGCTTGTATGGATAGGAGTGGTCGAACCAGAGTCTTTAACAAGCATAGAGGACACAAGCTTAGCTACCTCAAGCTCAGTTTCTGCTTGTTGCAGCTTACGCTGTCTTTCTAGCTGCTTTGATAAGGTTTCCTTTGCTCTGAGAGCTTCCTCTTGAACTTGCTGGGCTTCTTTAGCTTGTGCCTGTAGCCACTGGTATTCTACATCAGCCAATGAGTCCTCTGCAACCTGCTGACGAAGACTGTCTAACTGCCTTTGTTTAATCTTCTCCTCCAATATAGCAGTCTGAACGCTGGAGAGCTCATGTGGAAGATAAACGCCTGTGGAGGTGACAGATCGCCTACTTGTCCTGGAGTGAGAGCTTACACCGCTATGAGACGTTTTCCTCGAGCTGCTTCTTGACTTACTGGGACAGTGGGAAGAAGCTTTGGGAGGAGGGTCCTCAGTGGGTCGATAGCCAACCTCATAATCGTCCAGGTGAGAAGGGAGATGAGTCTTACGGCGTGGTCTTTCCATTGTCTCTGATGCGTCATCATTTGCTGGATCCATATTGGTGTATTATTGCTCTCCTCCGGCTCGAAGGACCATAAAATGTAGTGAAGTCCCACTACATTCAAGATTTTTAGCTGGCTGAGGCGGCCAAATATGGATCTGATTTCGGTTAGAAAATCAAGAGTGGAGAAGAGATTCTTTCTGATGAGCATTTATTTCTGTCCTGAATATGCAGCTGAGGTATGCACTGGAGATATTGCAAAGAATGTGTGGGTATGTGGTTTGTATAACATAAACGCATTTGCAGAGCATAACCTGCGGCATAAACAGTGAATGGCATTCAGTCCGTACTGGTGTGCGTCATGTAAAAAATGTCCGTGCGGGAAACAATTACTAATTTAGGTTCCTAGGACAGGCTTTCTGACAGTAAGAGATGATGCTAGCTTTAACCACCTTAGCTGTAAAGCTAATGGGTTAACAAGCAAATTCAGAACGAACGTTCGGAAACATTCTGAGCATGAAACATTAGCTATCTTACAATCCAAAAATTAATTAAACTTATGCGCAAAATTGCAATATTGCATAAAACATTTGCAAATAAACAAACAAAAAACCAAAAACTAAACATTTGCAAATAAAGCACTGCGTCCATCCAATGAGGCAAAGAGAACAAAATTGGCTAAAGGATTTTAAGATGACCAAAAACAACTTTTAAGGTGTTTCAAATGTGCATTAAAGCTCTCCAACCGCAGCCATTTTTGTTATCACATGATCTATTAAAATAAAATCACATGACTTTTTTATACGCATGCTGGAATTTATTCAGTAAATGTGATTCCATCATAGTTTATCCACACTTTTTCTTGTGGAAAAACAGTTGATCCCACTCATTTACAGTTTTTTAAAATGTATTTACAGCATACATTTTTTATGTGCATTTTCCAAATTAATGTGGATCTTAGCATATCGATTAAGCATTCATTTGGATTGAAACAGCAATTGGGGTTGACCTGTCCATCAGAAACTGTATTTCCTTTTGAAGCTTACATTAAGATGTGTTAGATGTATTTGTGTGTAGACAGGAAGCTATAAAGTCCTATCGCTGGCGAATGAACGAGGCTCACGCCGGCCGTCTGGAGTTTCCTCGCATACGGACCTTCTCTAATGCCCCAAACAGCACTAATGATGTTCAGACTGAGCTGGAGGATTCTGACAAATGGTTCGAGATTTTTTTATTTAGGTGCAGCTTATTGTAATCAAGAAGATTATAGGTGTGTTGTTTTTCTGTGTTCTTTTCAGGAACAACTTAAAGAGCTCCAATGTGGATATTTCTGATCTAACTTGGGAACAGAAGGAGAGACTGCTCAATCTGCTTTTTGCTAAATTAAATGGCATTAAAACAAGGTATATCAATTTTGAAATATATCAATTATAGTATGGGCGTGCTTAATTTCCAGTCTAAAGGCCATTTTTACATGCACTTTAGACAATAAACATTCAGAGCAACATCCATAAAATTGTACACATAATTTAGACATGATAGGCATCATTTTAAGAAGCTTCAGATCAATTAAATCAAATTTAAATGAAATAGCAAAACCATTGTTTGGTTGGTTGTTTTAGTAATATTAATATTACTAAAATAATACTAATAGGCCTACAATATGTTGGAAAAACGTTTCCTGGTCTGATGAGTCTCAATTTCTGCTGTGACATTCGGATGGTCGGGTCAGAATTTGGCATCAACAACATGAAAGCATGGATCCATCCTGACTATTACCAATTCAGGCTGCTGGTGGTGGTGTAATGGTGTGGGGGTCATTTTCGTGGCACCTATTACTACCAATTGAGCATTGTGTTGACGCCACAGCCTACCTGAGTATTGTTGCTGACCTTGCCCATCCCTTATGACCACAGTGTACTCATCTTCTGATGGCTGCTTCCAGCAGGATAACTTGCCATGTCATAAAGCGCGAATCATCTCAGACTGCTATCATCTCAATATGGAGCAAAATTTCAGGAGAATATTTCTAGTACCTTGTTGAATCTATGCTACAAAGGATTATGGCAGATCTGTAGGCAAAAGGGGGTCCAACCCTGTACTAGTAAGGTGTACCAAATAAAATGTTTGGTTTGTGTGTTTGTGTGTATATTTCAGTAAGTACCTATGACAATGCTTGCTGTCTTTAAAGGTTGCTTTTAGCACCACTATGTGGTAATTGAGGGTAATTGCAACCATAATATAGATTTCAAATTTCTTAGCCTGTATTTCTTTGGAACGATTTTTGCAGTGGTTCTCAAATGCTCATGGATTTTTTTGAGCATACTGTAAAATTTTCAAGGGCTTATTGGTGACAGAAAAACAATATGTATGTATATGTAATATATGTATTATGTTCAATTTAAAAATGTATATACATATATTTTTGTTCTTGACTCCTGGTAGGAAAGCAGCACATCCTCCAGCTCTATCAGCATCTTCCTCTGAGAAGATCCAAGTTAGCAGTGATGCAGGGTAAGGGCAATTTAGAATAATTATACTGCTGTTTTTAAAGATTTTCTTTCATTTAAAATTAAAGTCAAATCATGTTTCCTTCACAGGTCTACAGTGGAGAGTCCCAGCATGACATTTATAACCCAAATGACCATGGCAAATCTGACCTCTGACCCCTGTGTTCTTCCAGCTCTCAAGAGCACATGACTATTCATACAGTATTATCATCAAATATTTCATTTTTAAAACTGGACAACATAAAATATGTCTTTATTTTGTTACTGTTCTACTGAACTGCTTCAACTACATATGGCTTGTTTTTGTTTGTCATATATATGTAGATCATGCTTCATTTTCTTTTTTTGTTCTTGTAAACTAAACTTCCAATAAAGTTTTTTTGTTGTAAAGTTACATAAATATGTATCGTTTCTGATTACTGTAATATTTATTTACACCTTTACTGACTTATCTTTTTAAAATATTCATTTTAATGTAAGTTGTTTGTTTAAAACATTTTATAATGTGTTCCTTTCATTTAAAATTTGGAACGGTATTAACTTGTATCTTATTTATTTCATTACTTATTATTGTTCTTTTATTATTAAGAATTCAATTAATATTAAATCCAATTTAAACTTGTGTGTCTTTTATAAGGTTCAGTATTGGAGAAAATTACTTTTAAAAGTAATGCATTACTTAATTATTTTTATGGTAAGTAATGTGTTACTGTACTTTTGAGTTACTTTTACATTACTTTTATTACCTGGCTAAGGCTTGATCCCTTTCAGAATTTGTTCTTTCTTCTTTTTATTGAGGACATACACCTGCATTTACCTTTAAAAAACACATCAAATTTATTTAGTATAATGTTATCTGAAAACTTCCTGACCGCAGAGCTATACATGCTATATATACAGATTGTTGAAAGTTTAAAGCGGTGTGCTTGCTGCTTTTGTTCTATTTGTCTTTAGTAAAATCACTGTCCATTGAGACAATCCCCTTCTCCTTTTCTTTGATGCGTTCAAAATAATGAACACTTTCTCTCATTGACTGCATGATTCATTGACTACTTTAATTTTAATTCAGCAATTTATTTTTAAAAAGCTAATTAAATTAACAAAAGTAATTCACGTTACATTTTCAAAAAAGTAACTCAACTATTATTAGTTATTTTTAAAAGTAATGCGCTACTTTACTCGTTAACTAGAAAAGTAATATTACTATGTAGCTTGCATTACTTGTAGTACAATACCCCAACATTGCTATGGTTTGGTTTTATACATTTATTTTAATAAAGTGTTTGTATAATCATATGTATATTAATTAAATGGTTTATTAATTCAGTATTATTTCAATAAAATTGAGAAATAATTCATTTAATAAAATAATATTTTATTAGTTCATATGTAATGGCAACAATAATTCATTGTAATGTTTTTGTTTCAGTCTATTTACAATAATTCAATCATGGATTAATTATTTTCATTTGTATATTCATTTAAGTTATCATTGTGTCTTTTGTTCAAGCATTTCCAAAGAAAATCCCCTAGCACTCCCTCACAGCCCCCTGAAAACCCCTATGTTGCACCATCCTCTGTTACGTAAATCTTTGTGTTCTTTGATGTTATTGTGCATTGTAAAATTAAAAGCGCACAACAAAATCAGTGTTGTACAAATATCCAACATTGCGCGTTTCTATTCGTGTAGTTTCATGCGTTCTGCGTTGAATAGCCCTTCCATCAATCCCCTCTGTGCAGTCTCGTTAAAATCCTCATGTGTGCGTGTGAATGTGTTACAGGGGGCGCGCTTGGAAACTCCGCTCGTGTTTTACTGTGTGACTTTCATTTGTAGCAGCAGGCAGGGAGGGAGAAACGCAGACGGGATAGTGCTCGAAATCACCGCCACCCGGAATCGAGTAACTTCCGAGCACTCGCATTCCAAGCAGACTAGGAGCTGCGGGCATGAAATAAGCTACTGCGGGGGACTCGTGCTCGAGCATCCGCGTGCACCGTCGACTTTTTCCCTCGTTCGTTTTCCGTTTTTGAGCGTTTGCAAGACAACTCCACCGCCTCGAAGAAGCACGGGCGGACGAGCCAGGGAAAGCAGAAGTCTCTCAACTCGCCTCGGGCGATCGTTCTGCAGGCATGTCGCAGAAAGAAAGACCCACTTTCTATCGACAGGAGGTCAACAAGACGATTTGGGAGGTCCCCGTGCAGTATCAGAACTTGTCTCCCGTGGGCTCCGGTGCATACGGATCTGTTTGGTAAATATTTCTCTGTTGTTTCGATGGCGGAACGGTGTGTCCCATTCATTCTTACGGGCCCTCACTGCGTTAGCAAACTTGCTAATAAGATCAAAGTCCGCGGTTTGTTATGCAAGATGGAATTCTAGTCGCAAACAAGCCTGCTTAAAAATGAGTGTAATATTGCGGAGTGTTTTAACGATTGCTATTTTCCATTATAACATGCAAAACTTGCAAATGCCACCTCGCGTGCATGAACGCATGCTGGCACGAGCGTCGCTCACGGGCAACGTGAAGCTCGCGTTAAAAGTGTTGCTAGCGACTAGAGACGAATATAGTGCATTACAAAGTTGTCTTCTTTAAAAAACAGATTGCTATCTATTTCTTGAGAACTGATTATTCTGATACAAGAACCACACACGTTTATGTGCCCTACTTAATTTATGCCGTACGTTAGTGTGGTCTTAATGCGGACATCTGGTGGGCTCTGTCCTGAATGAGGTCACCCCTCAGATGATGATGCATCAGGACTGTTTCTTAAATCCAAGGGAGCTGCCGTTTAGTGCGCCTTTAATGCGCAAATTGCTGTCGTTTGTATGTAACCTGATCTGTTTTGAAACGCAGCCAGTGAGTCAGAGTTGCGTGCGATTTGAGGACTGCTGTGTCCTTGATTCATTCACTTAATTTTCACGTTTGCTTGCAGTAACACCCAGGATGAGGTGAAGCAAATCTCGCTGGGATGGTTTTGTGTTATTGTTTTAATCTCGTGATTGATTCCTGGCGATGAGGAAGTTTGTTGCTCATTCTGTGCTAATGTTTTCTGACACACTTGGCTTATGATTCAGTCAGTAATTTTATTACAATTAACAAAGATTTCCAGGTTAATGAGTTACTTATATTATCAGTTTATTAGTCACCTTTTTATAAATGTCTGAAAAATTATAAGGCCGCAGCCAGCCTGATGAAAATGTGTTTCTTTTTTCTTAAAAAGTGCAAATTTTCTATTTAATCATGAGGTTCAAATACTGCTTTTTAAGAGCTTTATTGCTGGATTAGCTTGTCATCATAACCACACTTGATATACCAAAACGTTTCCTAAAGATTTAGAAAAAGAAATAATATATTCAAAAAAAGCAATTCTTATTTTTTAAAATACAAATTTATTACATCATATATCATTAGAAGAAAATAGAAATCTGTTAAATTTCTTAAACTTAAATAAAAGTGTAACCTATTGTGATTTATTAGGCACATAACAAACTGGCCAGTACATTAAACTTTCCTAAGTCAGAATTTGGGAACCAGAATTTGGCACGATGTAACTTCAGAATGGGAAGTAAGGTTGTGTGAAAATTCGTTGTCGCAAATTCTGTACCCGACAGACAACACAGGATTGCACTTGATTTTAAAGCCTTTTTGATATTTTTACAATTTATTATGGCATAGTATTCAAAATAGGAAAAATGAGCTCATGTATGGAACAAATTCTGGACCCTTTTTTTCATTGAGGGGTGGGTCTTTTGAACCACCCTAACCCCCCCTGGCTATGGGCCAGATTATATTTACACTTAAACTAGCTGCAGAATTCCAGACTTATCAGTCTTAATGATGTTTTGCCCTCATAGGCGCCACTTTGTTGATATCACACGAATATGTATGCATGTATGTGTGGGATGTTGTCTATAGACTAATATTTACTTTTTATCAAACTTTAGTAAAGCGCTTCAAGCAACAATTCTGTTCTTCTTGATAAAAAAAAAACAACAACTCAAAAGTGTATAAACATCTCCTGAATGGTCACATGTATGTCTGCAAAATCTGTTTTAAAAGTTTGTTTAGCCTTGAAAAGTCTTGATAAAAGTCTTATTAACTTATTATCTGATAAAAAGGTATTTATTAACAGTCCTAATCAATAACATCTTAAAAAAATTATTCTAAATGTCTGTCTATTTTACTTCTGACAGGGGAAGTTTCCTAGATGTACTGCAGAAGAGCAATTATTAACTCTAAAAGCGTCTTCCAGATGTAAACAAACAATAGACAGATGTCTCTGTGATGCATGTACTATCATGACTAGGCATGGGCCGGTATATGATTCTAACGGTATGATATCCTTGGAAAATAATATCACGGTTTAACGGTATTGTTATCACTGCTTTAAAATATATTAATTTTAAATATCTGGGTCAAAAACTAAATCTTTTTCCCCCTTTGAACACAATATATTTTATTTTAGGAAACAGTTATAATATTTTAAAACGGTAAACATGTCAGGCTAAATCATTCAAATGAATCATTGACTTCTGTCTTCATTAGATTTCATTACAATTGTAAACGACATCTTTGGATATCTTTTACTGTGAAATAACGTAAAATCTTACACGTACCTTAGGAGCTGGATAGCAGAAAATTTTACCGCGGTATGTAGGGCTGTATGGTTTGGGGAAAATATCTAATTGTGATTATTCTGACAGATATTGCAAATGGAATTTAAATCTATAGTCAAGATTCTGCTCTATAATCTGTATCTTAGCTTACTGCAGTGAGTGTTAGTGAAAAAAAGAAACTGAAAAGATATTAACTTTAACATTTACTAAATTGAGTGTCATAGGCAAAACTGTCAGTTGACTTTTGCAAGACACTCCTCATGCCTGCCTGTGGTGCTTTTTTTAGGTGCAGGTTGTTGTCTTTTCTCATGATGTGGCAACAATTCTGCAACAGCTCTTACAAATTACCTCTGAATCCCACTCGTCTGTGCTTTCCTGTTTGTTTTTTTATTGTTGGTATTCCACTTAGTCCGGTTGCGCAAATGTAATACATATGTAATATCGCTGCCGAAATATTTAGCTAATTGCAACATTTCTAATCGCGATTGTGATTCAATTTCGATTAACCACACAGCCCTAAAGGTGGTATACCTTAAAGTTATCTTCCCATGCCTAATCATGATTTTGGTTTTAGAAAACAAAATCCACAAGAAGCATGTTCGGCAGAAGCAGCCTTTGCTATATTTCATTAATTTGACTTGAAACGAACTTCTCAACAGTTCACAAAAGAGCCCGACCCGCCATCACACCGTACACATATAAGGGTCTGAAATGGGGTATTCGCACACAGACTTTTAATTTCAGTCAGATAGCCCCAGGGCTTCCAGTGAATTGTCATCCCACACAAAATCATCGCACTTTAAAAAAAAAACAGTGATCTTCATTGCCTGATCGAGATACAAAATAAAGTGGGTATCAGACTAAACAAGAAGCACTGCATTAAATTCTATTTTCTATTACTACACTACTTTCAATGGAGTTTAAAAAAAGATAAAAAAAATATTGCTTAGATTTACTCATTTTTTCGAAGTTAAGTGGTTATAAATATTGTTTGGGCTGAATTTAACCAAATTAGGTTGAACATTACTAACTTTAATTTGTTTGTTTAAATTAATTATAGTTATAATTAATTATCATTTTTTTGTAATAATTTTGCAGACAGTATATTTTCACTGTGCGCTAGCCTTCTGCTAATTATGACGCCTGCATTTAAACAGTCTTTTATCTCTTTTTATGCTTTAACAACCAAGTGCATGCTTAAGTCTATTTAACTGAGTATATTTGAATTACATTACAACATCGATGCTGCAAAAGGAACCGTATGAAACTGAAAATAGTCGCATAAACCTTTTACCGGAAGTTCTTCATTGGCTGAAAAACACTAGCTGTGCATATAGCCCAGTCATTAAGAAGAGCTTTGGGTAAAATATTTATCTTCAAATAAAAAAGAGGTAATACATTTCCCATATCAGCCCAATTTTAAATGTGTACGGTTTTATTTTGTCCGGTGAACAAAAACAGTTTTTTTGCTCTATTTTGCAAATGAAGTTTCAAGAAATGTAACACAGCTAATAAAGTAATAAAGTTATTGTGAACTTTCAACTGTTTCTGTGAAACTGCTCTATATTCAGCCTCTGCCAGCATTAATGGCACTAAATGGTACTGTAAAATGATACTGTTTCTAACATTTTTCCCTATGAATGTGCCACATAAATTTTTAGCGCTATCAATCTACATATCGATGGCTTATGGTTACCTTTACTTTTAAAACTTGGAAAAAGTATTTTTAGCTGGCACAGAAATTCAGTTTTCGAACATGTGTTGTGTTTGTAAACATGTTAAAAATGAATTGAAATGATGTGGCTTTGGTTTTATCTAGTGGTGTTTGTGCACACATCTTTGGTTTCTCCCTCAAACTCAAAACAAGTGTTGCCTCACTCCTTAATGTTTGCAAATGATTTTCAGAAAGGTCTCTGCGATATTAAACAGACAGGTGTTTGAAGGCCAGGCTCATTTTCTAAATTACTTCTACTCAGGCCAGACAGGTTGTTTATGCACCAAAGTGACTGTTAGAAGTTGGGATGCTAGGCAACAGTGCTATCTAGATTATATTTCATGGGCCCTCTTATTGTGTCTGTGTAATTGAATATCAGATGAACAGATTGCGCTGGGTTTGAAGTGCCAGGCTCATCTCTCAGTCTATGCTGCATATTCAAAAAAAAGAAGAAAAAAAAAGAGCAGCACTGCAAATTTAATTGATAAGATCTGTTAGGTCTTTCAGTCAAGTTATAAAATATCCTGAGGGTCTCTAAAATGTTTTATCATGACCTTCTTTTTTTGAGTCTATACATAGCTTGTGAAGCTGATCTACTTGTTTATTTATTTAAATAAATAAATATAGATATTTATTCAGTTTTTCTATTAAGTTTAGTAATAATATTGATTAATATGCAAATGTATATGATTTATTTTTGTAAATTATAGTGTTTGTAAAGTAATATTGTTTTATCTGCATTTTAGTAAATGTATTATATAAGTGACTTGCTTTGTTTACCAAACAGTTGTTCTAATTTGATTTGCTTTGTAAATCTTAAGTTAAAAAGTCTTCATCTTCTATACTCTCAAATTCAATCCTCCAATCTTTACAAACATGTTACAGTGCCAAATGCAAATTATGAAATAGTTCATCATTGAAAGGTGCTTTGGAGTTTGGTTGCAAAACTCTAGTTCCTTTTCTAAACATTGGTTGTTGTGTGTTTGAGGAAGTGAGAGTCTGACAAGTTTTTTTGTTTGTCTGAAATGTATGGCAAGTGAACTCAGTGCCTTCAATTGTCTTTAGCTTTGGTCCTGTTGGAGCATGTTTGAGTTTCAGTTGTGCAACAAAGTGAAGTGTGACACCATGTTTGAATCATGTGTTTCAGCTCTGCGTTTGATGCAAAGACAGGATTTAAAGTTGCTGTGAAGAAGCTCTCGAGGCCATTTCAGTCCATCATCCATGCCAAGCGGACCTACAGGGAGCTGAGGCTACTCAAGCACATGAGACATGAGAATGTGAGTTTGCTTCGCAGGCCTTATGGAAACGAGTATTGTTTGGCTGCTGGAATAGATGAAGTATTAGTTTGTCAAAATGATAAACTTCCTCACACTCATGATGTTAATCCCAAAACAGTTTTTCTCTGTTTCATTGAACACAAAATCAAAATGTCACAACTATTTGGCAATCGAGAATATCTGATTTATTTGGATGTTTAGTGTTTTCTGTGATTAGACAAAGTAAATTCACCTTGAAAAGTTTTTTGGTGATCAGAATAATATAGCAGGTTGAAAATAGGATATTTAAAGGGATAGTTCATCCAAAACTTTAAATTCTGTCATCATTTACTCAACTAGGGCCACCACTAACAATTATATTTATATCAATTAATCTACCGACGGTTTTCCCAAACCTGTCCTGAAAAAGTCCCATTGACTTAATATTGGGCCAAACTTGGTGACCTTAAAACTTTTTGCCAGACTGTCATACAGACTTATGTTTTGGCTCATTTAACTCAGACTACCAATCTGTCAACCACTGAATACCTTTCAACTTATTTGCCACACCCTAGCAACCGTTTACGGCACCTTAGCAACTGTCCCATAACTGTCCCTTCCATTATAAACACTGCCATTGACTTTACATTGGACATACTCATAACAAACCAATTCATGCTAACAATATACCAATCCTTACAGGAACATACTAACAACATACTAATAATAATAGCAATATTCCAATCAAACTAGCAACATGCTAATTCATAATAAATGCATGCTAACGACATGCTAGTTTATACTAGAAACATGCTAGCAGCATGCTAATTCATATTAGAACCATGCTAAAAACATGCTAATTTATGCTAGAAACATGTCAGCAACATGCTAATTCATACTAGAATTATGCTAATTTATTTTACTGCCTAGCAACTACTCGGAACACCTGAGCAACCGCTTAGCAACCACTTTAGCAAATGCCTTAGCAACTGCCTAGCAACACCTTAGCAACCGCCTAGCAACACCTTAGCAACCACTTAGAACCCCCTTATCAATAGCCTAACTAGAAACATGCTAACCTATATGTAGTTATAACTGTTTCACACTTAACAATTACTTCAATTATTAAAACTTTAAATGGCTTCACACTTTCAGACAAGGCTTTCTTAACTAATAATAGTTTGTACTATGTAAAAGTACTAATCTAAACAAGCCATTGACAAGATGAATAAAATAATTAAAACAGTAAAAAAAAAAAGAAGAGGGTGTCTGCAGGGTCTTAAAGTTGATAAATCCATCTAGAGACATTTAAAGGCCTTAAAAAATTAAAGTCTTAAATGCTATTTAACAAGGTATTACATTTTGTATCAGTGTGTTAAAGTTTGCCTAAATGTAATCTTTAAATACTGGGATACTGTGTAGTTTTTCTGAAATTCATAAAATCCTGCTAAATTTGACACCACGCTGCTTTGTTGTCAAACAAGGGAAACACTGTTATTACTGCTGTTCTATAGGAGCCACCTGCTGGTTTAGCATTTTTATTCATAATATGAATAGATGAATTACCATGTTTGTGAACAATGGGAGCGCTAGCATTTACAGCGAGGAAATGACATCCGATGCGGAACAGAGTTTGTTGTTGTTTTAGAAATAAGTTATAATGATTATATATTATTTACATAATGCTTTCAGCGTATTATAACAGCTTGTTACCCAGTGATAAGCACAGTGATTCTGCAAAATTAACGTTAAAGTGAGCGGCGTTCGTCTGACAGGTCCATTTGCAATGAGCACCCTCCTAAAGAACATTGGATAGGATGAAATGGCCAACCATCCAGCCCCAAATATACAATCTCATTGAAACTCCTTGTGTTTTAACAAGAGAGAAGTTAAAGGCCAACAAGTGTTTAAATAAAAAAATATGGGATATTTTGAACATTGCTTGAAAACAGTTACCATTGACTCCCATAGTATTTGTTTAATCTATAATGGAAGTCAATGGATTACAGGTTTTCAGCTTTCTTCAAAAAATCTTCTTCAGTGTTCCACAGAATAAAGACACTTATAAAGATTAGGAACCACTTAAGTCAAATTAAATCACTTTTATTGTCACATCATCAGCAGCACATGTGCTATGAAGAGTGAAAAGCTTAGGTGCTGACTCCAAACAGTACAAAATACAGATGCAAATACAACAACATTAAGGGTGAGTAAATAATGCGTAGATTCAAATTTTTGCGCAAACTGTCCCTTTAATATTCTATTGAAGTGGAGAATGAGCTGCAGTTTTAAATTTCTGTTCGTATATTCTCAATTCAATGACCAAAACTTATTTATAGTACTTATTTTGGTTCATTATTGTTTTGTTGAGATATTTGATGGTACAATAATATATTTATGTAGTAGTTATGATACATTTAAGAGTTGTTTACCACATATTAAGCACAGATTATGTAAAAGGTTTACTCTGTTTTTAAAGATGTCTGTTGGTTGAATATTGTTAAATAATTGAATATTGGTTGAATATTGAATTAAGTTGTTTTCTTCAGGGCAATCAAACCTTTTCACATCCTATTCATTATTGTTCACATGGAAAGTGAAGAAAACCTTTACCGTTTTTCCTGTTATTTTCTTTGTTTAGAAATTTTAAGAAACCAAAATCTAAATCTGTTTTGGGAGAGGGGTCAACAGGTCCTATTATGTTTTTTTCTTTTTGGTTTATTCTTTGGTTTAGTCTGAGAGGGAATTTCAGCTGTTGTAATTGTTGGTTTTCCCTGTCAGCTTATGTGACAAACTAATGCAAGTCTGTTCATGCTGTGCTAAGTGATCCTGATTTGTGTTCTTTGCACTTTGTGCTTGCAGGTGATCGGCTTGCTGGATGTTTTTACACCTGCCACAAGTCTGAAGGAGTTTAATGATGTGTGAGTCAGACAGTTACTTCCTCTCTCTGAGATGTTATTCACTAAACTTGATTAAAATCAGTTTTTTTCCCCCTTCTTTTTATGATTGACGCAGTACTTTATGCATGTGTTGATGGTGAACGCATGTATCTGTCTGTATGTTTGTGGTTTTAAGAAATGTATTCAAGCCAAAAGTAATGGCACAAATATTCTTATTTAACATCAATTATGTTCTTTCAGTGAATTTTGTTGTAAATTATAAACATTCTTTCTATTTATTAAGAGTTCTGAATTATTGTTGCATTTGTCATAAAAGGGATAAGAATAGAATAGTGTTAAACAATTAATCACAAATAATTACATACAAAATAAAAATTTGACATTTACGTAGTAATATTGTGCACTGTGCATATTTATTATGTGTATGTAAATGTACACAACCATCTATACAGGTGTAGAAAATGTTCACAATCATTTTTTTTTTTTAGTTTTACCATAAAACTGGATAAATATTAATTTTGTTCAAATATTTATATGGAAGTATAAACGTGTCTCTGTGTGCATTTATATATACTTAATAAATATACACTGTACACTAGGACTGCTCGATATAGATAATCTAACATTGCAATAATTTTTTAATTCGGTGATGTATATTGAGATATGAATACAATTTCATCAGATTAGTTGAATAACTATTTGGGGAAAAAGTGATCATTTTAGATGATTCTGTAGGGGAGTATATATGCTTAAAATATAAGAAACAATCTACAAGCATAGACAAATTTAATAAAGAAAAATATACAAATCATGTAAACAGTGTTTTATTGTTTTACGATGAGTCGATCTGAAATCAGATGTTCAGTAATTGAATAATCAAATGTAAAATAATACTGCATAGTCTTCGTTTTATAAACAATTCACTCGTTATTAATTTGTCAAAGCTACAAACGGTACAATTCCTTAGGTCTGAATGCTTTTAAAAACTTCACACAGTCACAGGCCTAAAAAACAAAACACTTGTGTAATGGGATTTATAATCCAGACTCAACATTGCGTATCCTCTCAGTGTGACTATTGCGAATGATCACATTGCGATATCAATGCTGAAAAGATTTATTGAGCAGCCCTAGTACACACGCATATATTACATAAATATAAACATTTATTTTGCACAGAATTGATTGTTAAACAGGGAGTATATAGAAAATGCTCAACAAAAGAGATCTATCATTTTTACAGACTCTAAATCATATCTCCAAGTTATGGAATCTTCAAAGAATGGTCATTCTTTGATTGATAATATTTTAACTAAGGTTCACCAATTACAAAATCAGTTTAATCACATCATTTTTTGCTGGGCTCCAGGACATGTCGGGCTTTCAGGAAATGAGCGAGCTGATGCAGCTGCTAAAGACGCTTTGAAGCAAGTGGTAAACAAATGCCAAATTTCTTCATCAGAGATGAAACCTTTTATCAACATTTACATTTTAAACAAATGGCAAAAGGAATGGGATGCATTGGAAAATAATAAATTACATGAAACCCAACCTGAAATCTCACACAGAATTTTAAGACATTTTAAGAATAGATTTGATCAAGTAGTTTTTACCAGGTGTCATAGTGAGCATACAAGAATAACACATGGTTTTTTTGCTCCAAGGTGAAAACATTACTCTGCAAAACTCCCCTTACTATAGAACACATTTTACTGGATTGTCCTGCTTTTGATGATTCCAGAAGATATTTTATGAAATGAACTCTAAGGACATTTTTTACAAAGTGAAACCAGAGAAGATTTTAGAATTTTTATCATGCACGAACACTAAAAATCTTATTTAATTTATGTATTCATTTGTTTGTTGATTTTAAATTGTATATTTATTGTTGAAAGGTTCCTGCCGTGAAAATAGCATTTGTTGCGGATGTGGCTTTAATTAAAAAACACATTTGATTGTTAAACAGTATTAGAATAATAATTTTTAAAAATGATAATAGAAATGTTTGAACCGCTAATTAAAAAGATTTTTGAAGGAACACTGACTGGATAAGTGTTAAATATATCTATATATGTATAATTTTACAATATTACTGTTTTTGCTGTGTTTCAATGCAGCTGTGGTAAGCAAAATGAGACTTCTGTTATGCTGAAATGAATTCAAAAACTATTTATTACACCTAGCAAACTGAAGTGGTTACAACAACCAAAAATAGAAGGATGTGCAAGCCAACTGAAGGTGTGACATGATGGCAGACACATCAGAGGCTTCTTTGTAAACAACCGCGTTGCTTAAATGAGACCAATTTATTTTTGATGAATCGTGACACGTCCTTTAGTACTGCTTCATTATCTTCACTTTGTATATTTAATCCTTATGTCTTGCGTATTAAACCAAAATGCATTATTCATCCTGTGCTCTTTAGTAGGTGATTATAATGTTTTTAAGCTTTCAAGGTTTTATGGAGCTTCGGGTTTCTGCAAATGCTGAGTGTTTTGTGCTGCCTGGCTCCAGCCTAGCAGCGGTAGGTTAGTGGGGAATGCTAAGGATACAGCCAGGTTGTAAAACCAGATGCGGCAGTGACTTAACATCGATTTTGCTGCCAAAAATAGACATGACGCACAGTGATGTATGAAGGGCATCTGTCCTTCTTCCGCTGCTGAAGCTAACAGAAGTGTTTTTGTCAGGGAATATAGGTACATTAAGGTGGCACAGTATATGTGTCCTAGTCCACTGATATTGCCACCTTTGGTAATTATAAGCAAAGAAGGCTCATTACTTATGTAAGTCAGGGTAGGTTATTTGTAGGGGAGCCAGGATACAGACTGTTTGTATCATGGTTTTGGGGTCATGGTTTCAGAACGGTTGGGTGTACAACATTGTTAGATAAAGAAAACAATCAATTTACAAGCAAAAAGCACAAATTAATACAATATAGAAAAATAACATTAAAATAAAGTGTGCTTCTCTGGTATTTTTTGGTATATAACAGGAGTTTGAAGTAAAGAAACTGTATAATATAATCCAGTATTATTCGCAGGAGTTACAATCTAAAATATAATATAGTCCAGTATAACACTGTATGGCGTATAGTGGTCCCTTGTTATTTGCAGGAGTTACAATCCAAAAATAATCCGCAATTGGTAAAATCCGCCAAGTAGTCAACTTTATTTTTTACAATTATTATAGATGTTTTAAGGCTGTAAAACCCCTCTCTACACACATAATACACTGTTCTCAGACAGACATTATTATTTTCACACTTTTCTCTCGTTTAAATCCTCTCAAAGTTCAAACCTTCGTAAAAAAATAAGTCCAGTATTATAGAATGAATATAACCAAAGATCAAAACCGTTTGATCTTCATTTGTTTATGTGTAATGCCGTCCTACAGCAGCACAACTTCTACCTTCCTTTAGCATGTCCTAAAGCTCAACTTTTTGTGTGATGGTTAGCATCTTCCTCTAGCTTTTGGGTGCTACTGCAAGTGCCTTTGAAAGTGCTGAGTGTTTCGTTGTGGGTTGAAAATTTGCAAACATACAGTACAGCACTTGAGTCACACTGCTGTTGATCAAAGATTTATGTGAATTTGCCAAGCTGAACGCATTCTGTACTGTACAGCAGACACTGCACAGAGTAGAATGATTGACAGTAGTCTACAGCCAGTCGGGAAGCAGAACACAATGTGCTGTAGAATTACATTTAAATTATTTTACATATACATTTATTTTATTTACAGTCAAATTAAAATGAAGGTTAAAGTTTATTGAAGTTACAACAGCTATTTTGTCAATTTGTTTTCACTTCAAGATTCTACACACTGAGGAAACTTTTTGATGCCTGTGTAGGGATGCTCAAAAAAAAAACGATTAACCGTCAACTGAAAAGGTGCGTTTGTAACCGATTAATGGTATCCGTTAAACAATTAAAAAATATAATTTTACATATTTTTTGTTTGGATGCAGGGGCCGATTGAATGCATTTCTTTTTTTGCGTTAAGAGGGGCATCATTTGAATGGTTTACTAACAGCTGCAAGTGTTTTGCACTCGGCTCATCCCAGAGCTGCAGTTTGTGTTGTCAAGACAACTACAGAGAATAGATGTAGGAGAGACTGCTCGCTGTTTCAAGTTATCCAGAGCTGTATGAATTTACAAATCTTGAATATCACAATATTATTAAATAATACAATTGTAACAACATAGATAGAAACACTCTTGAGCTCAATACCCAGCTGATTCAGTCGTTTCATAGTGACAAAAAAGAGGGCCGCGCTAAAAGGCAGTGAGGTGTGCTTCGCGTTTTTGGAACGGAAAAGCACGTTTGCTGTGATCGGCCCCTTGTTCAACTGCACGACATTTGTAAACTTGCGGGATGATAACGTATGACCACACGTGCCTTCTGACATATTTGCCAAAGAAGCAAAGTGGAAGGAGAATATTGCTGTTTGATAGAGATGAGTTGATGCCAAACCTGCGCTGATGCTGATCGCCTCCTGGATCTGCGTCATAAACACAACAAATAGGCTTTACTTTTTATTTTACAGCTTGTAAAGCATGTATGCAAATTAATGCAATATCATATTTAAACAACAGTCAAAGCAATAAGTCTTGTCCTTGTCTTTCATCACGAAGCGCGCACACTTGAACCGTGAGTGAGAGAGGAAACCATATAGCAAGAAATAATCTTTAAAATAAAGATTTCTATTAAAAATGTAAAAAGGTTTTGTGATATATTAATAACAGCGGGGCATTAAATTAATGCATATTTTTTGTGGAGCGAGCGAATTGAGGAAGTCTGCTATTTTTATTTGACGGAAGAAAAAAACATATGATTGAAAAAAAACAAAACAACCAATGCCGGTTCTTAAAAAGAATCAGTCAGTGTTTTCGTTTTGTAATCTAAATGAATCATTTAAGTGGAAAAAAATTCAGGGCAGGTCTATTTATTTTATTCATTTATTTAGTTTATTCAGTTTTTTTCTATGCTATCGGAAACACTGCAGGTGTTGTTATGTTCTGTTATTAATATGCTAGCATGTTAAAATAAATCAGCATTTTAAAATGTAATATTTAATGTGTCAGACACAATAGACACGTCAATTTGTTTTAAAAATGTTTATAATAATTTAATAGTAATCTGACCAGCTAACCGTTAATAAGCGATTAACGGGCGGTTGTCAGTTAGCAACATTAACCGAAATGAGCACCCCAATGCGTGTGTTCTAAGGCATAACCAACCAAATGGTCATCTTGTCAGGCATGTTCACATAATTATTTTTGCGAGTTATAAGGAGTTTTGCCATTTAGAAACAAAACTAAATTGTTGTAATATTCATTCACCTGTTCAGATAAGGCACTTCTCAAATATTTAGCATGATTACTCTTCGAGCTTTTGTGTTCAGCGTTTAAATAACAGAAGCTTAAATGAATTCAAACATGGATGGTTGCGTATATTGTGTGCTTTTGGTCCCATGTGGACTCACACACTGTCCAACCTGGTTAAAAATAATGCTGCAAATGACTGAACTTAAGGCACTCTGAGTTTACATAAGTGATTTAGTGTAAATGAAGTTATTTAAATTTATTTATTATGTTAATCAGTGTAGTATGATAGCAAATGTATGTACATTTTAGTATGGTAATAATATGTATATGGAAATTGATGTTTGGTCATGGTGGCGTATGTCTGCTATGCTGCTGCTTTGATAATTATGGCAGAGGAAGTAATGAGACTTGCTACTGCCAGTATATTTACTGACATGCAGTATGAGAATGTAATGTGCTGCTGCAAACAAAATACATATGTAACCCCCCGTAGCAGATCTAAACAGGTGGTGAAGGGTCTTTGAAAAAACGCATTGCACATGCTAGTGTAAAACAATACTGAGGCATTTAAAATGCAGAGGAGCAAGCTCATTGGCTGCTGAGTGGACTGCAAGCAATCTCCTGTGCCATGTAGTTCAGCCTTTGCCTGCGTATTTTCATGACGGAAACAAGTATGCATTGGAAAGATGCAAAATGTTTATTTTGTACATTTATTGCAAAACCAAAAATAACAAAACAATTTTCATATGCACTTTGAACCTGGGAGGTTGTGCTGAACGATTACATTTTATAATGATTATTGTGGCATCCCTAGTGATTTAACTCGAAAGCATTTTTTGATATGCTGGATTAAAGTGTCCACATCTCAACAGCACTCATGTATGTTGTCAAATTTATTCATGTATAATATAAATAAGTCTTTATCTGAGAAAGGCAAGGAAAAAAAAATGTTGGTTCAGACATTACAAGGCTGTTCAACCTGTCTGTCAAGATGTGGATTTGCATACCTCCGTGTACCCTGTTCATACAGAAAGGTCACTTCATCAGCGCACTCCCACTATCCAGACTGGCAGAGCGCATGTCCACCAAAGCAGCTGAAAATGCCTGTGTTCTTCCAGAAATGCTTTTGCTTAGCTCTTTTTCTGTTTAACTCTGAGTTAAACACACTCCAAAGGCCAACTCATTTAAAAACTGCTGGGCAGACAGCATTTTACATGAAACGGATGCTCACCACCTTATCATGCTGTTGGACTTCTAATAAGCAGCGTGGTCATTGAAAACAAATATGTTGTTTCTGATGTCCCGAGAAAAAGCGCTTTGGGGGACACTTATTATTACATTACTGCTGTAATATTAATCGTGTTGGACTGTAGTGTTTTCCTTTAAATTTTTTTTAAGGGTTCAGACTTTTTTTTCTTGATATTTGGAGTGATTTAGAATTATAGTTTTGGAGATTTTTTTGACTTTAAGACCCAACTAACTTATGCCATTCTTCAGCTCACTAGACATGGGCCGGTATTGGATTCTGACAGTTTGATAGTCTTAGAAATATCACTGTTTCAAGATACCACAGTATTGCGATAACTGCTCTTAAAAATAGGTTCTTTTTTGAATGTCTATGTAAAAAATAAAACTTTTTTTCCCTTTTTGAACACATATATTATAAATATATGTTATATTATATAAATATTGTAAATATTTTATTTTATGAAGCATTACAAGTATTTTTGCACAGTAAACATGACAGGATAATGACAGAATAATTCAAGTAAATCCTTAGTTTCAAAAACACATTTTCCTTTACAACTTTGGAAAGGCATTTTTGGAGAGATCTTTCTTTTCTTTGGATATAAAGTAAAGCCACTGCACTTAAGCAGTGCATAAGCAATTTGTTTTTTATGGGCTGACCAGTAGATTTTGATGCGGATATTTCTTTTTCTGGTGGAGATACTGTTACCATAAAAACTAAATAAATGCTTTTTTATACTCCCATAAAAAAAATAAAAAAAAACGTTCATATATATTGTACGAATGATATAACTAAAAATGTAAGTGGTTTTGACTTTTCCAAATCACAGAAAACCTTTAAACCGGTTATCGTCCCATGCCTACAGCTGACTTTCTTTCTTTTCTTTTAAAATTTTTTTTTTATTAGCCTTTAAACCATCCTCCTAACTCTGAGTTTGGGCAAGGTGGACACATCCTCTTTCAGAGACTGATTCTTAACATTTACAGTTGACTGGAATTTCCCAATGTTCACCCTAATGGTGGAAATGGCATTTTCAGAGTTTTTTCTTGCAGCTTTGTAAAGCTCAACAACCTTTTGCCACAAATCGCAACTCTGTTCTCTGCGTTCATCTATTGAGATAAAAGACTTAATGAATTTGGCCAGGATATTTCTTTGTCTGTAAAGCCCTGAGAAACAGTTTGTTGTAATAGTTGAACAATTTTCTGTTTCTCGTCACTTAGATGTACTTAATTTAAGCAAACCAATACATTTAACAAAAATATTGATATTTTTGATTGTGTGCAGACATTATTTATTCACCGAGGAATTCAATATTAGTGGTGGCCAGTGTAGAAGCATGTTTGACTTTTGTTGTTGTCTATAATCTGTGTTTTTCTCCTAAATCGTTGGGGGTTGGATGTATTTGTTGATGATCTATAATGCTGAGAGCATGTCTATTGGGTGGAGAGTGTTTCTGGGATTAAGTAGGGCTTATTTTAAGCTCTGCTGTGTGCCGCAGCACAGTGCCTCAGTTTGACCTGAAGCTCCACCCTCTGGCTGAGAGTCAGTTCTGCCGGAGTTTAGACTGCAGTAACATGAGCTGATGGGTCAAGATCAAGATTATGATTGTTGATGTGCTTGAATATACTATGACAATGTGACCAGGTGCAGTGGTCTAAATATGGTCTCACATTAGTAAAATCAAAGGATGAATTCTTAAAATGTAACTTTGTTAACCTGCTTCTGTTACTAGTCGAGCAATTAAGTATGGTGGTACTTTTTAAAGAAAACATTGTATATTTATTTGTTCAAAAAAGGTCCAAGGTGTGTAAGTTTTCAATGCTTTTGAAGAAATTAAATACTGTCAATGTGTATATGTATTTTTAGTTGTGAAATGTACATTTTCCAAAGTCTTTCAACTAAAAATTCTCTTCAGGTTTACATTTTTTTAGTCATCTAAAATTGCATTTAGTTACTATGTAATTTTTAGATTCATCCTCTACAATCTGAGAGATTTTGGTTAAATTGTAATGCATAAATTAAATATGTCTCTAAATTTTCCAAACTAAAATATACTCATGAAGAAAATCTCTTTTAACATAATATTAAAATTGAAAAGAATTAATAATATTAATATGGTTTTCTAATTGCAACACAATAAATCTGTTCATTTAGCGAAATATGCTATTTATTTTTGTTTTAGCTTATTTACTTGGGTGTCACATAATTAAAAAAAAAAATCAGTCTTATGGGGTAGTTTGGTGCTCGGTATTAACAGGGATTTAAAAAATATAATTAAAAATGATTTAAATAATAAAGCTGAAACCTGTTCTTGGACTGGTTCTGTGACCTTGGGGACTATCAATGAATGGGGAAAAGAATGAATAAAAGTAAAGAAAGAAGCATCAGAAGTAGGGCTGAACAATATGTCATTTGAGCATCTGTCTCAATATGTGTATTCACAATAGTCATATCCCTGGATTAGATTATTTACAATATACGATGATGACCAGGTTATTTTAAGTTTGATCATTTTCTTTTTGTATTTTTCTTATTGTTAGACCAGAAAACCACACACACTGTTTATTGAACCTTTGTTTGTCCTCTGTCATATTTATAAATGTTTATTATTTTTTTTAGATGTTATTCAAATGTACGGCAGAGAAAAGACTTGATCACCCTAGTCAATCCGAATGAATGAAATCTTTGCAAATAGAAGTATTCAAGTCATCTGGTAAAGTTATTCTCATATCATAATATATATCACAGCAGAACAAAACATCGCAATTTTGATTTTTCCAAAATCGTGCAGCCCTAATCAGAAGTATTTATTCATTATTGTAAGGGAAATATTGATGTGTTTTCAATACCCCTAGTGTTTATCTCCCTTTTGTTTTTTTTCTGTCACAATCCTAAAAATAGTCTTCAAAAAAAGTGCAAGCAGCTACTCATAAAAACGGATCCGGTGGCACATCCTGATCGTGACAGTTAGTAGTTACACTTTAGTTTTTTTTAGAAGCATAGTCAGCAAAGTAACACACATCTGTTTAATGAAAACAGAACTTGATGTTCTCTTTATTTGAGGTGGTGCCGTCACTCCCAGCAGCAGCTTAACAATTGGCAGGAGAGTAACATTCTTCTTGTGCTCTTATTGGCAGGTACCTGGTGACTCACCTTATGGGCGCTGACCTGAATAACATCGTAAAGTGTCAGAAACTGACCGACGATCACGTCCAGTTCCTCATTTACCAGATACTGAGAGGACTAAAGGTGAAACTGCACTTTTCAATCCTCTGACTAACTCAAACAAGAATGTCAACTCCTAGGAAAAGAAGGAAAAATAGCAATGGAGTGAGAAGTGTTGTGTTCACAACAATGACGAAATGATATTATCTAGACAAATACGTGACCTGTTTTAAGTGTGTAGTTTAATGCTGACCTTGCATTTTTTTTTGTTTTAATTTCTGTTTTTCTTGTTTTTTTACCAGTACATCCATTCAGCTGACATAATTCACAGGGTAAGTGTTGCAACTCGGACACATGAGGAATGGCCTGCAGGCTTTTTTCCCCTCAGAAATTCAGTCTGTGCTGCCCCATGGAGTCAGTTCTTCCTGGCATCAAAATATTACAAGCCCAGGCCTGTTTTTGTGTAAGACTAAAACTAAAGATTGCTAGAAATTAATTCGATTTGGGAGATTTTTAAGTTATTTTCAGCCTGATATCCTCTGACGTTTATGACATTGATGGTTGTCATGGAAAATAACAAACTAATTCTACAATTTGTGATGTATAAAAAACTGATATGGAATTTTTTTACAATATCTGATAAACGATGTAGAGGCCAAATAAATATAAAAATAATTTATTTATTTTTTATTTGTGGGCAGTTTGAAATTCTGTTGTTTTTGTAGTGGAATAGTGAAAAACTTTGTCAAGCGCATGATTTGTGTGACATGTATGACACTAGTCAAAATCCTCATCTCGTAAAATATATTGGTAATATTTCTATATTTATATCTAAAAAAAAGATATAATTAGTATTAATAAGCATTTACTAGCCAATAGCAATGAGTTCATCACTACAATAAATACATCTAGACCAGGTTCAAACTAAGTGATTTTAGTATTTTTCTGATAACAACAGCTTGTTCACACAATTTCAGTTGCCATTATTGATTTTTCACTCTTGTTTCTGGAAGTTAGATGCTAGTTAAAAATAACAAAAGCTCAAATTTATTTAGAAAAGGAGCACAAATTAAAAAGATTGAGATGCTTACAGCTCAAAAAAAAACAACTTTTTTTTTGTTTTCAGAAGTGCTAATGTCTGTGAATTCATATTTAAATGCATGCATTTGTTTTTATAAACTGAGAAACATGTTGTTTTTTGTCTGTAGTAATTTTAAATTACTGCAGATATTCCTTTAAAACATTTAGTCTTGACTTCTCAACGAATCATAAAATGAGAAAGTGTAGTTATATTTACAAATTGTTTTCCAGGATTTGAAACCCAGTAATCTGGCAGTAAATGAAGACTGTGAACTCAAGGTGAGTTAGTCAGATATTTCATGTTTTTTTATACATTTGTTAGTAGTGTGGGTACTCGCAATTTAATTGTTATTAACAGTGTCTCAACTCTCTTTCTTGCAATCTCAGATTCTTGACTTTGGCTTGGCTCGACACACAGATGATGAGATGACTGGGTATGTGGCCACAAGGTGGTATCGTGCCCCTGAGATCATGCTCAACTGGATGCACTACAACGTGACGGGTAACACAACTACATCTGATACATCACAAATCTTCACATTTTGATCAGCCATCAGGGGAGGAAAGGCTTTTTAGAGAACCCTTTTGTAATGTTTTTGAAAGCAGTTTAATGCTCCCATTAATTTGATCAGAAATGATTCAAATAAATAGTAAATTACTAGGTAAAATACTAATTCAAGTTAACTTGTTTTAATAGATGTAATATATTTTTAAGATACTATTCTAATGGTCAATAAATGTTTCCGGTCACTATCTATTATTGTTGTGGAGCTTTTTTTCAGGATTATTTAGTGAATAAAATGTGTTTTAATTGATTTATTGACCTTTTAGAACTGTAAATGTTTTAACTGAAGTATTAAAGTTGTACAAATTATTTAGTCTAAAATGCATTTAGGTTTCTCATATTTTAGTTAGGGGTATATGGTGTGATGGCATCTAATGTAGTCAGTTCAATTGGTATTCATCAATAAAAGTCTCTACATTTTCCAAACTTAAGTACTCCTGAAGAAAACTTTTATTAGCCTGTTAACATATATTTATTTTTTAAATCATCTCCAATTAGATTGCTTTTCAAATTGTGGGTGACGAGATAGTTTGGTCAGGACACAATAAAGTGCATGTGTGTTTGCTGCCTCTCCACTAATGCTGTTTCTTGATTTGTTTTCAGTGGACATTTGGTCAGTGGGCTGCATCATGGCTGAGCTGCTGACGGGCAGGACTCTGTTCCCTGGCACCGATCGTATCCTTTTCCTCTAATTTCCCCTTCGCTGACCTGCTAAACACGCTCCGTAAACCACACCACTGCTATGAGCCACAAATGGCCACAATTAAGTGTTTTTAGAAATATTAGATGAATGTTTTTAACTTTTCATTTCATTCTGTTTGTCTGCATTGGCAACACTGTCTATCTTGTCTTACTCTGAACTTTTGTCCTTCTTGCTTAAGCTCCGCCTTCGAGCTGTGCCTCAAGACGCAACAGTGATTTTGAAGGAATTTTGATTCATCATTATGAGTATGGAATAAATGTCCTTGCAGGAAATTACATGCTTCTTTCTCTCTTTTTCCGCTTTTTTCCCCAATGACAAATCTTATCATATTTCAGCTCTTGCAGTGTATTTTCCTCCCTCGGCTTTGCATATTTGCCACTCTTGTATCCAGCTCCACACCCTAAGGAACAGATATACTTGCCAAATATTTTCCCCTTCTCGCAGGCAGTGCACACCTGTGCGGCTGCTTCTTCTGACTTGCTTTTTCTGGGCAGGCTGAAAATGTTTAACGTGTGCTATTTTTACCAGCTTGCACGTCTTTTCACAGATATGACTGAAGCTTCTTTGCTTTCCTGTTTTTAAGTACGCATGAATGTGAAAACCTCTAAGTTCCCTTTAAATTATTCTTCAAAAATAAGCATTCTCCTATGTTCATGTTCAGTTATTTCACTTTAAAGGCAACAAAAAGTGAAAATAAAAGTGAAATTGCTGAATCTACATACGGTGACCATAGAAAAATGCTTATTTCAGATGGCACTAAGAGGTTTTTGCATCTGAACTCTTCACATAAAACCCAAATAAGGTTTAAAATTTTGTGGCGTGTTCATTGTTAAGCCACACTAGTTTTCCTTTATCTTATTTTACTAGACATCGATCAGTTGAAGCTCATTATGCTTTTGGTTGGGACTCCAGGACCCGGGCTGCTAATGAAAATATCATCAGAGTCTGTGAGTTTGATATATTTAGGGAGTGTGTACTTGCTAAAGATGCCTGTGTGTCAATTTTCAAAAATGGAAAATCCATTTTAAGCCAGCAGCTGTGCTTTGAAATGGCTTTTCATCTAGTCCAGGAATGTTTACTCCAGTCTTTTATAGTATAGTCTTATTGTCACATTTGATCATCCTAATACGTCATTGCCAAATGAATGTAGTGATTCCTTTCCAAAAAAAGATAGTAAACTGGTAGACCATCTTGGACCTGCTGCAAAACTACTTATGGAATGGTCATTCTGTGTTAAAGAAATTAAATTGGTTTCTTAAACATTGCATTTGGTTAAGCAGCTAACAGCTTTTGTTCTATTTTCACTGATGTGTGGTGATCGTGTTTGTGATTGAGGTCACTCATTTAAAAGTTTTTTCCACTGTTTTCCAACTAAACATTGACTTCACTTTTAGATTGGTGATTGATCGATCTGGGCATCTGTTTGGAATTGAATCTTGGCGTCTTAACCGAAATTAACCTGCCTGATTTTTGTCTTCCAGCAATGCTGATTTCTGCTGCATTTCTGATTGTAACACTATCTTTTGCTATTCAAAGCATGACATTCTTCTGTGCTGTTTGTGAAAACAGTTTGCATGCCACTTCTCTCCTGTCTCTTTGTATTTTCATTCCTGTCTTTCTGCTTAGAGCAATGGAGAATCACACAATCATGTCCAGATCATTTTTGACAGATATGCATTTAGTATATAGATTTGTGATACACTAAATTTGTTGATCGTGAGCTCCTTGACACGGCCTTCAAAGATATAAACCAGCTTCAGCAGATAATGCGACTTACAGGAACTCCTCCTTCCTCTCTAATAAGCAGGATGCCTAGCCATGAGGTGAGCTCGCTGTGGCCCCTGTGGCTCGCTGTGTATTCTGTTTGCAGAATACCCATCATGCCCATTTATTATCACATACAGTCAGGTCCATAAACATTGGGACATTGACACAAGTCAAACATTTTTGGCTCTATACACCAACACAATGGGTTTGAAATGAAATGACTGCAGACTGTCAGCTTTAATTTGAGGGTATTTACATCCAAATCAGGTGAACACTGTAGGAATTACAACAGTTTGCATATGTGCCTCTCACTTATTAAGGGACCAAAAGTAGTTGGACAAAATTCTAATCATAAAGAAAACTTTCACTTTTTAATAATTGGTTACAAATCCTTCGCAGTCAACCACAGCCTGAAGTCTGGAACACATAGACATCACCAGTCGCTGGGTTTAATCCGTGGTGGTGCTCTGCCAAGCCTCTACAGAATCTGTCTTCAGTTCCTGCTTGTTCTTGGGGCATTTTCCCTTCCGTTTTGTCTTCAGAAAGTGAAATGCATGCCTGATCGGATTCAGGTTAGGGGATTGACTTGGCCAGTGCATAACATCTGCTCTGTGAAGCGCCGTCCAATGAGTTCTGAAGCATATGGCTGAATATGAGCAGATAATATTGGCGGAAACACTTCAAAATGAATTTTGCTGCTTATGTCATCAATTAAAACAAGAGAACCAGTTCCATAGGCAACCATACATGCCCACTCTTTGACACTACCACTACCATGCTTTACTGATGAGAATCGTGAACAGTTCCTTTCCTTCTCCTTACTCTTATTTTCCCATCACTCTGGTAAAGGTTAATCTTGATCTCATCTGTCTATAGGGTGATGTACCAGCACTATGAAGGCTTTTTTAGAACTCTAATCTGGCCTTCCTGTTTTTGAGGCTCAACAAACTAAAAAAAAGTGGGAGTCACTTATGCAAACTGCATTCACCTGATTTGCATGTAAATACCCTCAAATTAAAGCTGACTGTCTGCAATTAAAGCACATTTTGTTTGTTTAATTTCAAATCCATCGTGTTGGTGTATAGAGTCAAAAACGTTAGTACGGTGTCGATGTCCTATTTGCATACTAAGTAGATGCTTATTCAAATAAACTGCTATAAAATGTTCTGTGTAATATGAATGCATTCGAGAAATAAGCTGCGCCTGAATTCAGAAGTTCTTTCGAAATCCAGCTAAATGTTAGTTGCGTCATATGACACACTTTACAGTACACCATGCACATGTACTACTTTTGCTATATGGTAATTCAAGCCATTTCCTGGCAATGTTAAATTAGTGAAATAAATGACCAAACTACTCAATAGTATCAGTATAACTGCATTCATCACCAGGCGGCAGCATAAATACTTATATTGGAGAATTTAGCTTTTAAAATCCAAAATAAATAAAGTAACCCAACCTCTGCGCCCTGTAGCTCCTCCCCTTTCACCATATGAGCAAATCTGTGAGCACTTAGTGCATTTGGGTATCAACTTTCCACTTTTTTTTCTCTCTCTTTTTGTTTTAATCAGTTGAATCAGTGCATCGACTGGGTATTTACACTGCACTTATCCTTTTTTGAATTTTCTGTGTAAATGCATTATTTGCAAAATTTATGCTACAAAACGGCATAGGACAAGTATGCTATTTAGGACGCATCGTTAGGAAATTAGATGGTTAAGCATATTGATGACTGATTTTGTTACCTAGCAACCATTGTAACTGTCAATAATTAGTGGCAGTAACGTTTGTACTGACTTTATGCAGGGTATCTGAGAGATTTTAAAGTCTTAAAATGTCTTCAATCTCAAGAACTAAAATAGGAACTAGACTAACGAGCCCTTAAAGTCTTAAATCCACTGAAATATTGTGTTGTATGTCTTAAATCTTTTTTAACAAGTTGTTCATGTATAGCTATCCAATCTGGCCAACACCCATACAATCACCAACAATCCATCTTAATAAAACTTTTAACTTTTTTTTTAAAAAGTAAATTTTTAACTTTATTTGCTGTAATGCTTTAATTATTTTCCAGACCTATATTTTTATTAATAAGTTTATTATTATTATTGTATAATTAAATGTATTCAATTATAATTAATATTATGTATAATTTTTTTTGTAGGGCAAGTGAAAATCTCTTCTAATATAAAAAAAATCCTTAGTGTTTAGCCCTGTACGAGTCTAAAATTTAATTCATAATGGTCTTAAAATGTCTTAAAGTCTTAAATTTAACTTGGTGAAACCTGCCGAAACACTGTTTAGAGCTTATATAGGTATTTAATCCATACATTAAAAAAAATGCAGAATTTCCTTTTAAAAACATCCTTTTTTTATCATTCTGTTGTTATCAAGATTAATGAATGAAGATGTTCAAGGTCATATCTTTCATTACCAGAAAAACAAAGGACACATTTAAAGCTACATTTGAAGGATCCTTCAAATTGAGACAGTCTTCGTCACACTGCGATAAGGCAGACGCCCTTTGAATTTGTCACATTTTTTTCTTCAGTTTCGAAATTGAGAGACAGCTACTGTCAAAGTAAAGTATAAACTAGGCCAGTGGTAGGAAACCAATGGCTTGTGAGCCACATGTGGCTCTTTGGCCTAAAAATAAGTTGCTCTCCGTCTTTATTTAAAAAAAGTTTCCTGTTGAAAATACAATTAAAATCCCCTTTTTATTGTATTTTTATAACAAGATGAATGACAAAAGGATGTTTAGACCAATGCATGTGTGCGGAACTGTGGATAAACTTGAATTGCGACACCAATGAAGGACAAACAACTTGCGTGTCTATGGTAACCTCAGTAGTATATATACATTATGTAGTAGAATATATCCCCATGGCTCTTTGAAAATACATTTGTCAAAAAAATCAGAAATGGCTTTTTGCTGAAATGAACAAAGTCATGCAAGTGCCTACTTTTGGTTTTTATTACTTTATTTTATGAACACTGAATTCAGACTGGCCAGTTTAAGTGTATTTTAGTTACTATAGTAGGTAAGCATGTGATTTCAGATGCAGTCAAAAATCTCTCTTTGGAAATATTGGCTCCATTTAGAGCATTGCCTCATTAAAGCCCCAATTAACCGAAAGCTGTGACCTGTATTTTCTTTCATATTGTGACGTAGTTCCTAGAGAAATGTCATGTTAGGCATGTCATTCAGAAAGATCGGGAAAAGGGATTGAAGAGAGTTTTTACAACAGACTCCTGGGGTCCGATCTTTGTATTTAGATTACTCAGTTAGCTGGATTTGGATATTGACGATTTGACATGATCCAGGATCATTTCGTTCTTCAAAGCTGATCCGAGAGTTGTTGTCATAGCAACAGTTCTGCTTGCGCAAACCTGATCTGGAGCAGGTTCAATTCGTATAAACAGGATTAGATCGGCTCAGTTCAAGCAAAGACAATACAGAAAGTATGTACCAAATTCTAATATTTTCTTACAGTAGTAGTTATATACTCTTGGGAAATTAGTAAATGTTTTTAAACTATACATATAAAGTTATAGTTATAAAGAAAATAAATAAAGTTTTATATTTATATTAATAAAACTTATGCAATCTGCACCAACAAAATGAAAGTACAAAGATTGCCACCTGGTGGTGCAAAGAGAAAACCTATTGCTATGAACTTTTTAGATCGCTTGAGTACAAATTGTGTGTGAAAATAGACATTTTTTTAAAGCAATAACACATTTATGCAGTCATGAACATGTTTTGACAGTTAATTGACGGTGATTTGATGCTTCATAAAAGTTGCAGATGCCTTTACCAATATCAAAATGCTTTTGTAAACATCCAATTAAAAAAACAGCTACAATAATACTACTTTGGCTACAATAATAAGAAAAATCCGCTCTAACTGTAAAACTAAATAAACTGCTTTTGACGCATGAAAGGGTCAAGCATGCAGCCCACAACAAGGTGTAAAGTTGTTGCGTGTCATATTTAACAAACCGTTTACTGCGAATTTGATGTAATTTTGCTCACATGGCTAATTGAATATGAATCAGATGATGTCATTACGCTGCTGTGCCGTCAGCCAATCGCTGCGTTGCTGATCACGATTTCGAGGATCGATAGATCTGTTCTTAAAATCAGTTCATCCTGACATTCTAATCTGATTCACAAACTTGTTTGAAGAACCAAATTAGCCAGAGATCGGTAATCAAGATGAACAGATCCAGGATCTGCCAAATCATCTAAGATCATATAAGCAAGGTACGAAGACCGGACCCCTGCTTATCATTTTTGTTTGTTGTCAACTGACAGTTTGAGGGGTGTGTCTAAATGTTAGCCACACCCATTACCTAAAAATCACGCAATCTGAGAATTTAACTGAAAACAAACAGGAAGTGCATTTTTAGATTCCAATTACAGATTACACGGGCACACTATTTTTTGTTGATGACATGCACGGATGAATTGTTTTACACAAAACTGTGAGCTAACAAAGTCATATGGTCAGTTTTGATTTCTTGGGGACTTTAAAAAAAAAAAAAAAAAAAGACTACAATTGCAATATCGCAAGGATTGTAGTTGAATTTTCCTAGTAAACATTTATTTGTTGTGCAATCACTCCGCTTAATGTTCCTCTTTTTGATTTTTCTCTGTTGAGAGAAACCCTGGTCTGAGTGTTCATGAAGCAAATATAAATAATGGTCTTCTAATTAAACTACAATTACAAAGTTCCTGAATGTTGGAAACTGAGACCAGAAGCGTGATTAAAACAGGAAAACATTCCGGGGCTGATGAACCAAGACCCTCATTACAGAGAAATGCATTTCGATGTAGGCACAAAATAGTTTTTTATTGTATAGGCATTTCATCCAGGTGGATCCAGCGTTTTGCAGATTTTTTTTTTTTTGTTTTTTTTTTTTGTTTTTTTTTTTACCTGGTGCAAAAGTGGATTATTCTAAAGATGTTGGCCTTTATATTTTGCAAATCTGTATATTTTGAAATTTTCATCGGGCTATGTCTCAACTGTCATTGTCGTCGTTTTTTTGTTGTATCTCTATGCCAGAATTAAAGCACCACATACTGGTTTGGCATGTATACTACACCACTTTTAGTCAGTTTCAGTAGTTTCATGAGTATGCAATTTTTTTTTTTAGACAACAGACGATTTTTTTAGGCAAGTTTACACAACTTTAATCAAACAGGATTGAAAAAAAGGATGGAAAGGGAAAGCTCTGGCTTTGTGTAGATGTAAAAAAAATCTATAAGCATCTAATCAAATTCAGGACCGATAACAAACTGTTGTCGTATTCATTAGTACATTTTCAATACTTCTCCACTTTCTCTTGCGGTGTCCACTTGCTGCCTAGCCTCATGCAGTTTTCACTCATCTCTGCGAGCTGAAATCACTGTCTGTCATCTCCAGCACGGATCCCTCTGCAAATGTTTGCTGCATTATTCAAAAGGCACTGCATACTAACCTAACACAATGTTATTATTCACAGGGTTAGCAATGTATGTGCAAAACACAAGCAGTTGTCATGGTGATCTTATCAAAAATTACTAGCAAGCTCAAATTTTAATTAGCTTAAATAAAAACGTCTGATATTTTGGCATTTTCATTTATTCTAACTGCTCATGGATCACCTGTTGCTTTTTACAGGCTCGTACTTACATCAGCTCACTTCCTCAGATGCCCAAGAGGAATTTTGCAGATGTGTTTATCGGGGCAAATCCACAAGGTAAAAGACATGCTACAATTTAAATGTCTAGGGCTATTTTGTTATTGGAATACAAATAGCAAAATTTATTTTAAAATATAATCTGTAAAATTGCAACGCAAGATGTAAAATGGCAGTGTATTTCTTTATTTAAATGTGCGTTTAAGATCTGTGCAATGTTTGGTTCAAAATAAAAAATAAAATAGTATTTACATTTGTGATTTCCAACCACAGTATTAAGATGTCAATTATATACAGATTTTAATAATTTATAAGTTTTATAACTGAAAATGCATTACTCAAATTGATATGTAAAATATTAGGTCTGTAGCCAGCCTATTGAAAGAGGTGGTTATTTTTTCTGAAAATGTGGACATTTTTTGCAGTTATTCGCCTTATTTACTATTCAGTGCTACATTTTAGTGACAATTTAAGCACTAATCTGGATCAGCTTGTCGGATGGTGATCATAACCACACTTTTTTGATGCACCAAAAGTATTTCCTACAATTTTGTCAAAGAGCTTACCATACTTTTTACTATGAAGAAATTATTTACAAATTTGGATTTAAACTGTAAGTTAATCCAGTTTTATAAATATTGTTATGAGATTAGCATTAAAAAACGAAAAAATAAATATGAAAAAATACTTGATTTTAAATACAAATGTCAAATCTATCAATTAAGAAAAAATTTCAATCCAGTAAAACTTGTTTTAAAAAAAAAACTGTATCCTATGAGCAAATAAAAAACTGGCCAACTCATTCAACTTTCCTCAGTCAGAATTTGGCCCCTTGATAGGGCTGGGTGATTTGGCTTAAAATCAAAATTTCGATTAATTGAACATTTTAACTTGATTACAATTAATAAACGATTATTTAATTTAATTTTTTCTCTCATAGTTTACAAACAAATTTTGTACAGTAAATATGTTCACTTTGAATGAAGGGTGCATTATTTGAATTTAAAATAACTGAAGGAAACATGCACTATCTACCATTTATGATTATTTAATGTACATCAATGTTGAACAACTGAATTTAGACACATTTTTTTAGACACAACTTGCACTTTTGGAAACAAATAAAATATTTTTCATGTTTTTCTTATTAAAAGTAGAAAATAAGCAGTATCCTTTTTAAATAAAATAACTATTGGATATCTTGTTAATAATATTTTATTTTACAACATTATGATATACAGTGCACTCAGTGTAAACTATTATTTTAATGTACACTAGAGTTGTAATGTTATGGAAAATATGCTGTCGCAAAGCTTCTCTGGCAAGTTTTGCAGTTAGGACAAATACCATTTAAATTGTAATTTTGCCATAATTTTTACTTGTATGTTACACACATCAATTCAATTTGGGTTATGCTTTTTTAATTCAGTTTAGCAACTTCTAAATCATTTAAATATGTAATTTACGTATTGCAGCTATTATTGGATATGGCAAATGTGATTTGTATAATTTTTCATTTTGCAGGAAACTTACAGAATGCTAATTGAAATGATTAAATACATGACATTTTACATATTGCATTACAGTTTTGCATATTGCTAAAATATTTACTATAAATAACTATATTAATATAATTACCATACATATACCTAAATATTACTTTTTTTTGCTACTGATATGCTTCCATCATTTTAATCTTATGATGTACAGTGAGGATCATTTATATAATACAAGCAGAAAATTCATTAATATTGAGAAATATTACATTTTAAAATAACTTATTTTAAATTTAATATGTAATTTATTCTAACGACATGGGTGAATAATCATCAAGAAATAGTCCAGTTATGTACTGTAATTATCAATGATGAAAATACGTAATAAAATACAAGATCAATATATTTTTTATCACTTTTAATCAATGTAAGGGATTCCTGCTGAATAAACATTTAATATCTGTCCATTTAAAATAAATTGATCAATCAATAACTACAAACATTTAGCTTTCCATTGATTACAAAATAAACTGGACAATAAAATCATTCCTATTTTTGTAGGGTTTTTTTTCCGTAAGTTTGCTTGATAATATAGAGCCGATCGTTCATTTACTTTCATATTTCGTGTATGCAGCTGTGGACCTCTTGGAGAAAATGCTGGTTTTGGACACTGATAAGCGGATTACAGCAGCAGAGGCTCTGGCACATCCATACTTTGCCCAATATCATGACCCGGATGATGAACCCGAAGCAGAGCCTTTTGACCAGAGCTTTGAGAGCCGAGAGCTGGATATTGAGGAGTGGAAACGTGAGTCGAAGTTTAATTAAGTTGCTGAGTACAATGAACAACAATAACCACCATATTGAGAAAGCGGCAGCAACAACAACAGCAACCTCTCCATAACTTCATCCTCTAATGCTAGAGATGTTCAAGGCTGGTTCAGTATGAGACTGCTGCTGTCAGTTAACACTAAAATTTTATTTATTTGTCAACATAATAATTTAATGTATTATTTAGTTATCATTTATTTAGCACTATTTTGTTTTGCTCTATGGTTTTACCAAAGCTACATAGTTATCCAACATTACTAGCCACTCATTATTTTCACTAGCCACAATTTCACAAACAATTTATTCAACAAAAATGTTCTTAAAAAAACAAGTTTGTCTAGGCTAAAGGTCCCAGATCACCAGATAACTATACATAAATGGAAAGTTAATATCATGTTAAAGCAATGTTATTGTAAAACATGATAAATTAAAAGTGTTAACAAATTTAACTATAGGCAAAAGAAAGCAAGTGAAAAACATTCTGTGTGCAGTAATGAAAGGATGTCTGCGTGCACATGGTTAATGTTAGGCTCATTAATGATCTGTAAAAGAATGGTGAAAGCGAAAGCGGCAACCACTGCTGTTTACGAAAAAATCTCTTTAAAGCAGCATCGTTTTATTTCCAGTCTATTTCAAAGTGAAGCAATCACACCAGTTGCGATACTAAAGCCCTCATCGGTGAGTTAGGATTGTCTGTATCCCACTGTGCGCCTGATCATCCTCTCATTCTGTATTAATCTGCTTTTTTTTGCTTGTGCAAACAGTTATTTTTGTCAGTTGTGCTGCTTCTTGATGCTAAGATCACATTTGCACACATATTAGCAAACGATCAGAAACTAAAATTCTATTTTTTAGTGACAAGCCAGCACTGGAAATTTGAAATAATTTTCAACCTACCCAAGTGGTTAGTGGGAGTGTCTGTCTAACCCACCAAAGCTAAAATCTACCCACATTTGGCAGGTGTTAATTTCAAGCCCTCTAAATAGGGCAAAATATTGGCTTTTACTTTTACAGATTTAAAGGAGAAACATTATAAATGGAACTTGCGTAAATCAGTACCTTAAAAGTCTGTCAGGAAAACATGCAGTTTTTTATGACTTTGCTGTCTGTTACATTGTTTTCATAAACTGTACAAAAACATATGCAAACTGTTGATTTGGTAACAAAACAACATTAGTTTTTTTTTTTTGTTTGGGGGATTTGTTAGACTAGACAACACTAGTTGGTTACAAAATTTACTTTAAAATGTTAATATTATTTTTTATTTTAATTATAAGGGCTCTTACATATTAAATTAAAAAGGTCTATAAAATTTTTTGGAAACATTTAATTTGCGTTATTAATTATTTCTACTCCTCATACTATTTTTTTTTTTTTTTTTTTACAGCTGAGTAATAGTACAAAATAAAGATGTAATACTAACTTTAATGTAATTTTAATTTTTTTTTGTACAATTTTCTGTTGTTTTTCTTTTTAAACGTCACCTTTTTCATCCAGTGTTTGTATAAACATTGTTAATTGTTTTAATACATTTAAAATAGCTCTCTCCAAAACATGTAAATAGTGTCTGATCAGTTCATTTTAGTAGGAGATGTAGTTTTAAAGTCTGTTGCAGTCACACCCTTAATTGTCTTTTTTGTTTGTTTTGTTTCTGCTCAGGTCAGACATACGAGGAGATGATCAGTTTTGAGCCTCCAGTCTTTGATGTGGATGAAATGGAGTCTTGACCTTTTATTCTGGATGGCAGTCAAACCAACTGTACTACTTGTACAGAAAAGCTGTAATTTGCAGTATTGTAATCAGCAAGCCAGTCAGCTGTTTGACTTATTCTTTTCATTTACAGTATATATATATTTTTCCAAATATCGTCTTCTGGGCCAAACAGAAGGAAAAGATGTCTTAGAAAATAATTATTTTACTCTGTGAACCTCCAAAAAATGAAATTATTTTTTAACAGTTTGCTTGGTCAGTTTCACAATGTTCGTTTATGACATTCATGCAAGGCCACATGTAATTGTAATGTCTCCCTGAATATTCATACTACTTGGTTGTTCACTCTTTGTACAATGTATCACACTTGCAGTATATTATATTTTATTTTTAAATGTTCAAAAAACATTGTTCATTTACTTTCTGTTAAATATAGATATATTTTTTCCAATCAAATGAGCAATGTATTTAACAATTTTACAGCTTCTCAATCATTCTGATGGATGAAGAATGTAAATTGCTGCATTGGTGATATGTTCAGGCTGTTTGTAAATATATATGCTCCATTAGGCTGATGGAATCTTTACGCATTTTATTTTTGATCTTTTTCCCCACATATATTTTGTGTATGTTTCTTAGGGAATGAACATTTGATGTTGATTGTGTGCGTGCGTGCGTGCGTGCGTGCGTGCGTGCGTGCGTGCGTGCGTGTGTGTGTGTGTGTGTGTGTGTGTGTACCTGAGGTTGCTACTGTGAACTGTATGCGATCTGAATGAATGATTCTGCCTCCAGTAGCTGTTTTTAAAATACTATTAATTGAATGTTCAAATATGAAAGTAGAGTAAGATATTTATATACAGTTGAGGTGGTATTTATGAACCTGAAAGGCTGCATCTGTCCGCTTTAGCATCTGATATAGAAAACATGGACTCAAACACACCATTGTTTACTGAAAATAAAGGCCAATATTTTTCAGAAACGTCTGCTTTTTCATTTTGCTTGTTGGTTTGGTGTTGGACAACAGCGACTGAAGTTCATTCATTCATTTTCCTTTAGCTTAGTCCCTTTGTTTGTTAGGGGTTGGCACACCGGAATGAACTGCCAACTTATCTAGCATAAGTTTTTCGCAGGCCCTTCCAGCTACAACCCAGCACTGGAAAACACCCATACACTCTCACATACACACACTTTGGACAGTTTAGTTTATTTAACTCGCCTATAGCGCAGGTATTTGGACTGTGGAAAAAAAACCCACGCCAACATGAGGAGAACATGGAAACTCCACAGAGATTCGCCAAATGACCCAGCAGGGGCGTGAACCAGCAACCTTTTAGCCGTAATGTCGCCCATGACTGAAGTTATTGACTTCTTAATTCATGCATGCCTCTTGAGTATCATTTAATTATTACTAATTTAATTAAGCATGTTATCATTGAAATTACCTAAATAACATTATTGTTACCTCAAAAAAGTGAACCCAACGATAAATTAACCACTGTTGCTATGGTTACCCGATACTTTTTTAATTTAAGGGCCTTTGCCTATACTTTCTGTGTTCATCGTTTTTGGATTTAAATTTCATATCTTCGTCTACTTAAGTCACATATTTCTATAAATATTTTTACGACTTTTTAAAACATCCATTTTAAGTAAAAAAGTTGATCACAGTACGGTCTGTGAACGCGCTGAGGTCAAGACGCGCGTGTCCGGACGCGCGCGCATGCGCAAGTGCTACCCAAGCCGCCAACCAAGGGGCCAACATGGAGAGAAAAGGTAATCCCTTCCTTGACTTTCTCTGTATATTATTTACCGCCTTTGGAGCTAAAACGATTATACATGAGGCAAGGCGACTAACTTACATTCTGATTCCAATGAGTAGCGTAATTTTAATCCCCAAATGCGCATTTTTCTTGTTTTTGAGACGCATGGGCTGGTGTCTTTAGCGTTAGCATTTAGCCATTCAGTCTGCAGCTGAAGTGAGCTAAATATATTTTCCTCACGCCCCAGAGGCATGTTTTAATATCGGGTTGTATTTACTTCACTTCAGCGACTTCGTTTGTCTTTTGTTTTAGATAGACGTTAAACATACTAGCAGGCGCGTGCACGTATCAGCTGGATGAGAATTGAAAGCTTGTTTTTCCTCTTTGCTGTCGTGGAAACTTTAGGAATTTCCTTCAGACTCGCTTTTTTTTTGCATCCTTTCCGTCGTTATTAAAAACCTTCGTGTATTTGAAGCTCCACGTCTGCACTCATTTAAAGCGCTCGGTTCCTGTCACACTGTAAACACACAGCTGTGTATTGTTTATGTGCATTATATAAGATTACATAAGATCAGCGACGCCGGTCTGCGTAGCTCTTGTGTTATTGTCAGGTTATGTTTTGCTGTCATTGAGTTTGACGGATTATTATTTTTGTCATCATATCTGCATCTCATTTGTCACCAGTTCTGGCACTGCAGGCGAGGAAGAAAAGGGCCAAAGCCAAGAAGTCGACCAAGAAGTAAGTTTTGTTCTGTTAGTAATGTTACACTAGACCTAAGAGATGGGTCTTTAATATGGAAAGTATTTTGATTATAGGATGTAGTTGTACTGTTGTGCTATTAAAACAACACACCGCTGTTTTTATACATTTCCATATAGTGCTGTAGAACAGAATGAGTCATTGTAAGTTTGATCTGATTAATCAGTTTTTGTTGTTGAATCGTGTTCATCTGATAATATTGGTGAACATTTTGGCAGAACGAAGTCTGCATGCATTTTTAGCATGCATGGTAGAGCTGAACAATATATCGTATGAGCATCTATATCGCTGTGTGTGTATCTGCAATCGTCACATTGCAGAATTAAATTATTTATTAAAGATTAAAAGATAAAGATATTAGTACATTTTAGTTCTAATTAGTCTTACAATAATGTTCATGCTGTTTTTACAGGTTATTGTTCAATTTTTGAACTAAAATGCTGTTTCACTAACCAGAAAACCATGAAGGACTGTTTATTTATTATTTATTTTGCTTCTTATTTATGCAATTAAATGATAAAATAGAGTCATTTAAGTCATCTAGTGAAATGATATTGATATCGCAATATACAATGCTTAGCATAATTGCGTACACACCATTTTGAAATGAATATCTGTATCCATTTCTCAGTGAATATAGGCAATGTGTTTTGGTGCATTAAAACAAAACGGAATATTTTAGTCACCAAACTTATTTAGAAATTGAAAGATAATGCAGTTAAATTCAATCAACTAAATTTTAAACTAAATTTGTATTTAATATTTTTCTGTAACATAAATTTGGGTGTAATAGTTTTTGGAACGATATCATAAGTCATTTGGTCAGATAAGCTGAAGATTTGGCTTTAGTTCTGACTAGTCTAATGTATAGCTTCCTATTAAAAATATGAATTTAAAAGATAGATTTGTGAGGGGTTTACAAATATATGCTGAGCTCTGTATATCACAGTAAAAGAATATTTTTTCTAAATATCGTGTAGCCCTAATGCATGGTATAAAGTTGGGCCTTTTCACTTGAGTTTTAGTAATGATGTACGACACGGGTGTTTTTTTTGCAATGGGTGTTTAACCATGCATCGATACCTTTGCAGTCAGTGAAACGCATCCTAACGCTAACAGTGTTGCTAAATTTGATCAACATTTTATTTCAATAAAACAATTGATGTTGTTGAAAAGAAAACACAAGGCTTGCATTGACATCTTGGCTGAGTTTGACATTTTTAAAGTATTGCCATGCAAGTCAAGTTTATTTCTATTTGGTTTTTACAATATAGACTGTCAAAGCATTCAATTTGTAGTAGTAAACTAAAAAAGGTGTTAGCTTTGTACAAATTGTTTGATCAGGATTTAATTGAACTATAATTACAAAATCTGTTTTAGTTTAAAAATGAGGTTATATAATTGAATTATTCAGATCACTTTGTTTCAGTGTTGTTCTTAATTCACTAAAATAGTTGTTTTTCAGCCTTAGAGTCTTTATTAAACTTTCTGTAATTTAAGGCTTTAAAATGTCAGTAGATAAGTAGAAATGAGGAGATAGACAGAAGTCTATGACCATTGCATTAAATGTTTCTTGTCATGTATAAGTTATCTTCTCTATTGTTTTAAACTTTTTAATGTCAATGTACTGGAAAACAGATAATGTGTTTCTTTCCAGTTTCTCAGTAAATCTTTAGTCTTAATGTCTTAAATGTAAAATTTTTATTTGTAATTAAACTTTTTCTGTGTGTAACATATAAGCATGGGTTAGTATAAGTTTCTGATGGTATGGTAATATTGGATTAATATATCTAGGTTTTGTAATTGCTGCTCTAAAATAAGTTCCTTTTTAAATGTCTGGGTAAAAAAAAAAAAAAAAAAAAACTTTTTCCCTATTGAACAAAATGCATTTTACTTTAATGAAACCTTTATAATATTTGGGAACAGGCTAAATAAATTAAATAAATCATTGACTTCTGCTCTTGTCATTAATTTCAAAAATAGATTTCTTTACCACACTATTAAAATAAACACAAAAAACTTACATATATTTTATTTTAGGTAAATATTACAAATTTGAACCTTTCCTAAATCACAGCAAACCTGGAAACCAGTTGTCATCCCATGTAAGGCTGTGTGGTTAATCAAAATCATATCGCAATCACGATTTGAAATGTTGTGATTAGCTAATCGCAAGAGGCTGCAGTATGAAATATGTATTATATAATTTTCTCCACCCAAAACAAATGAGTGCCTGCTGTCAGTGTGTGATAGACTTACTAGTCAATTGAGTGAGCACACTTTTGTTCTGCCCTATCAAAATTGCAACCGTTCTATGTGGAAAGCCAACAATAAAACTAACAGGAAAGCACGGACAAGTCTGCCGCTTCAGAAGCATGAATTGATGAATTCATATCAATGAAAAACATCATTCTAAAGGTTTCAAAGTCACAGACACTGAACAAAAAAGCTGTCACAGAATTGTTGCCAAAGCATGAGGAAATGCAGCTAAAAGTATTGCCAGTGACGCTCAATTTAGTAGCTAGCAACAGCAAAGTACAATTTCAGTGTTGTTTGCAGCTGTAACACCATATGAAAAAACATCAGAAAGGCCCCAGGAGATAACTAATGCCATAACTCACTACTGTTTGCTCTAGACAAAAATTTACAAGTATTTATAAACAAATTTGAATAAAAGTTGGAGTTAGTTAAAATCTTTTAAGCTCCTTTTTTTAACTAACATGCACTGCATTTTCGAAGTAAGAAGCTACGATACAGATTGTTGAGCAGAAGATTAACTACAGAATTAAATTGCAAGTTAAATCGAAATTGCCATATCTGTTAAAAAGAAAAAAGAAAAATCACAATTAGATATTTTCCCCAAATCGCACAGCCCTGGTCCTATGCCTAGTAACATATATGGTGAAATGGTTGTCAAAACATTTACAATCAAACAAAACATTATTAATTCATCTGAAACAATTCTTGACATTTTATTATTACTAGATTCAGAAAACTTTATTTCATTTTCATAACTGAGGATGGCAAAATAAACTAATAGGAACTAAAGAAGCTTTAGCTGTGACTGGGAAAATATTGAAGGTCAGGTTTGTGTGAACTTGGTTGACAGCAGCTTAAGAGACTACTGGCTGTCATTGAGGATAAGAGTCACCCAATAATGTTTTGATAGTTGTGTAAATATAGTCTTAACTAACAGAACCCATAACAGTCATCTGAATTCTTTTTGTATGATGAAAAACCGAGTTTGTCTCATATTTTCTAAACTATTAAAACATAAACTGATAATGTGAGAAAAGTTGAAGGTGTCTGATTAATATTTGGTTTGACTGTATATCGTGTCCTATAAGCTTCAAAGATTCTAATGTAAAAGGTCCAGGCTATAAGAGTTTACACTGTAAGAGGAGTGTCCCATATATACTGTGCTTTAATGCGTGTCCATTGACCTAAATGAAATGCACC